GTGCTGCTGTAAATATGGGTGCACATATATCACTGTGGTGTGGTGTTTTTTTTTTTTTTTTTTTTTTTTTTTACTTGGAAGAGGAATAGCTTGGTTGAATAGGATCTCTAGTCTTAGTTTTTTGAGAAATCTCCACACTGATATCTATAGTGTTGTACCAGTCTACACTCCCACCAACAGTGGAAAAAGATTCTTTTTTCCCTATAGCTCTTCCAGCATTTGTTATTGGTTGATTTCTTTATGATAGCTGTTCTTTCTGAGGTGAGATGGAATCTTAGTGTTGTTTTAATTTGCATCTCTCAAGTCACCAGTGATGTTGAACATTTTTTCACAAATTTATTTGCTGTTTGTATTTCTTCACTTGAGAAGTGTGTGTTCATCTCAGATGTCCATTTTTGGGCTGGGTCTTTAAATCTGGGAAGACTGTCTTTTTTTCGAGTTCTTTATATGTTCTTGATACTAATCCTTTGAGGAACAGCTGGAAAACATTTTCTCCCACATTATGGGTTGTCTCTTCACTCTGTGGTTGGTTTCTCTTGCTGTGCAAAGGCTTTTCAGTAGGTTGAGATCCCAGTTTTTGATTCTTTGTGATAATTCCTGTGCAATCAGGGTCTTTGCCTACACCAATCTCTTCAAGAGTTTTACCCACTCTGTCTTCCAGCACATTTAATGTTCAGTTTTAAGTTAAGATCTTTGATCCATTCTGATTTTAGCTTAGTGCATGGTGAAAGATATGGGTCTAGTTTTAATTTTTGGCATGTATAGAGCCAGTTTTTCCAGCACAAGGTTATTGAAGAGGCTATCTTTCTTCCAGTGAATGTGTTTGGCATCTTTGTCAAAGATAAGGTGGCTCATTGTGTCTGAAGTTGTTTCTGCTTCTTCTAATCTGTTCCACTGATGTTTGGATATTTTTTTCTAGTACTGTTTTTATTACAGTAGCTTTGTAGGGTAATTTCAAGTCAGGGATTGTGATGCTCCTATCTTGTCTTTGTTGCCCAGAATTGCCCTTGCTATTTTAGGTCCCTTCTGATTCCAGATGACTTTTAGGATTGTTTTCTCTAATTCTGTGGGATATACTATTGAAATTTTGATTGAGATTGCATTGAATCTGTATAATAGTTTTCAGAGTATGGCCGTTTTCACAATGTTGATGCTTCCTACCCAAGAGCACAGGATACCTCTTCATTTTCTAATATTGTCTTCAGTCTCCTTTTTCAGAATACTGTAGTTTTCAATATAGAAGTCTTACATTCTTCATTAGATTGATTCCTATGTATTTCATTTTTTGGATGCTTTTGTGAAAATTGTTGTTTCCCTAATTTCTCTCTCAGTGAGTTTATTATTTGTATACAGGAAGGCTATTGATTTTTGAGTGTAGACTTTGTATCCAGCTGTGCTATTGAATTTGCTTTTTAACTCTACCAAAAAAATTGGTAGAGGAGTTTTTGGGGTCTTCTATGTAGTGTCATGTCATCTGCAACTAACAATAGTTTAACTTCTTCCTTTCCTTTCTTTATTTCTTTCTCTTGTCTAATGGCTCTGGCTAAAGTTTCCAGCACTATGTTGAGTAAGAGTGGAAACAGTAGACGTCCTTGTCTTGTTCCTGATTTTAGAGACAAAGCTTTCAGCTTTTGTCCATTTAGTATAATGTTGGCTGTTGGTTTGTCATAGATGGCTTTTATCAGATTGAGATTAAGACCATCTATTCCAATTTTCTGTAGAGTTTTTATCATGGATGGATTTTTGACTTGTCATTTTTCAGCATCTATTGAGATGATCAAGTGATTTTTGTCCTTGACTCTGTTAATGTGTGTTGCACTTACTGATTTACATATGGTAAACGATCCCTGCATCCCTGGGATGAATCCCACTTGCTCATGGTGTATAATCTTGATGATTTGCAGTGTTGAGCTTGCTGGTAGCTTATTGATCTAATGACATGACATACTACATAGAAGACCCCCAAAACTCCACTAAATGCATCTACATTTATTAGGGAAATTGGCCTGTAATTGTCTTTCTTAGTTGAGTTCTCCTCTGGTTTTGGTATCAGGAGAATGCTTGCTTCAAGGAATGAATCTGGGAGTATTGCTTCCCTTTCAGTTTCATTAAAGAGTTTGAGAAGTAGGGTTAGGTCTTCTCTAAATTTCTTGTAGAATTCAACAGTGAATCCATCAGGGTCTGGGCTGTTCCTTGCTGACAGGTTTTTATTTACATTTTCAATTTCATGTTTTGACATTGGATTACTTAGGATTTTTATATCTTCTTGATTCAAGTTTGGTATTTTGTATGTATCTAGGAATTTGTCCATTTTTTCTGTATTTTCCATTTTATTAGAGTTCAGGTTTTCAAAGTAGCTGTAGATGATCTGAATTTATGCAGGGTCTGTTGTAATTTTACTCTTTTCATTCCTAATTGAGTGTGTTTGAGTTATTTCTTTTTTTTTCTTGATAAAGTTGGCTAAGGGCTTGTCAATTTTATTTAATCTTTCAAAGAACCAACTCTGATTCACTGATTTTTTTGTGTTGTTTTTAGTCTCCTATATGTTAATTTCTGCTCCGATCTTTATCATTTCCTCCCTCGTATGAGCTTTTGGCTTAGCCTGCTCTTCTTTTTCTAGAAGTTTGAGGTTCGATATTAAGTTATTTATATACATCTGCTCTGTTTTCCTGACATGGGTATTTACTACTACAAATTTTCCTCTTAAGACTGCTTTTATTCTGTTAAGTAAGTTCTGGCACATTGTATTGTTGTGTTGTAAAAATTGTCTGATTTCTTCTGTGACCCATTCATTGGTCAGCAGAGTGTTACTTAATTTCCATGTGTTTATGAAGAAATTCATTTTTATAGCATCATAATTTAACTAAAAAATATATAACTATTGCACTTTCCCTTGACATTATAATAGTCATTAAAATTAAGATTTCATTCAGGTTTAGTAGGTGATTCTCAAAGAATGGAGATTTAGAGACAGTGTTCTTGTTGGTAGTTCATTTTTGTACAAGTACCTAGGTGCCAAAATCAGGGGCATACTTCTTGACACTGAGGACAGTGTTCGGAAGTGTTGGGTCCATAGTCAGTATTTTCTGGGATTGCCCTGTTGTAGGATATGACTTCCTAATCTCAAATAGCTTATAACTAAATGAGAAAACAAGTATGAAAACAGAATGGAAACTGGAAGTGTGAAGATGCAGCCTTCCTGGAGAGCTTTGTGGCACTCACTGAGGTCAGCTTGCATGCCCTCCTAAGAGGTGACCGAGATGCTAGCTACCAGACTAACCTCTGAACGGAAAGACTGGGCCAGTGAAATTCAGAAAAAGGGAAAGCCATGATCAGAAGAGAAGTCTCACATGAGCTCAGGTGCTCACTCAGCTTAGGTCTGGAGACACTGTTGTTCCCAGTGTGACAAAGCCATGCTGCTTTCCCAGGGAGACAGCACCAGAATCTGTGTCAGTATTAGCAAACATTCGATAGATCACTGGTGAAGATTCCAGCCTAGCCAAGATGTAGCCACCCTGTGCAAAGCATGTAGATAGTTGGTGATGTCATTTATTGGCAAAAGTAGCAGCTCTTTAATGTATAGGGTTGCTGCCAGAAATTTAAGTGTTCTGCTTGAAATAGGTATCGGTTTATTGTTCAACTAGAGATAAATTTTAGAACTGTTTGTAAGAAATGCTTAAAACTGGCCCTAGTTGAGATCTTTGAAGGAGTGTGTGTACAATATAAGATTTGAAACTCAGTAACAAAGTATTTGAAACTCAATAGCAGTTTCACTGGACTAGTGTTTATTTCATTTTTAAAAGTTTTAATTGATACAGTAATTATAATACAGTATAGATGAGGTATAGTGTAGTAATTGTGCACATGTATGCAAGATTTAATGATCACAGAGCAATTAGCATTCCTGTCTGCTTAAACATTTGTCATGTCTTCATGTTGGGAAATTTCAAACTCCTCTAGTTTTTTATAAAATATATAATAAACTATTGTAAACTAGAGTCCCTCTGTGGTATTATGAAGCGCTGGAATTTATTCCTCCTGTCTAGTTGTAGTTTGCTTCCCTTATCCAGCCTGTTTTTACCCGTTATATCCTTACCCTTCCTAACTCTGGTGGCCATTATTCTACTCTCCACTTCTGTGACAGGTAGTGTGTTTAGTTTAAAGCCCATGTAAGTGCTGTGCTATGCTGTGCTTCTCTCTCTCTCTCTCTGTCTCTCTCTCTCTCTCTCTCTCTCTGCTCTGTCTCTCTCTCTCTCTCTCTCTCTCTCTCTGTCTCTGTCTCTCTCTCTCTGTCTCTCTCTCTCTTGATTTGTTTTGAGACAAGGTCTTACTATGTAGTCTAGACTGGCTTTGAAACTCACTACGTAGTCCAGGCTGGTGTCAAATTCATGGCAGTCCTCTTGCCTCAGCCTCCCAAGTGCCACCACATTGCCTGCTTGTTTTTCATATATTTTAACTATATCATAATGTCTATGTGTCTTCCAAATCTTGAAAACTAAGGAAATGTAGAATGTAGAAAAGTTTGGACCTTTGTGAGACTTTTTGCTTATCTTGTTATTAATAAACTTCATGGGGTATTCTTAAACTTCCAAGAGTACAAGCTGTCTATGTCAACACAACATACTAATGACGTCTTAATTTCTTTCATGAAGTTTCTCTTAGTTTAGGCTTAAAATATGTCTTCTGAGACACCCAATGCTTCATCTGCCATCAGACTATCGTTAGCGTCTATCTCCTGAAACTTTGTACCTGGCACTTTCCAGAGAAGAGCTTTTTATTTTCTTCACTTGGTTTTGCATTTTATAGTTAAAATTGAGGTGTGTTGAATTTTGTAATTCTTTCACTTTAAGTATAAAGCAAGTAACTATCAAAGTGGAATTTTAGGGCATAAAAGTACTTCAGCTTGTTTTCAGAATCTTCTTAGTTGTGTGAATTTCATTTTGTATCTGTAACTGGGTTTTTATATGCATGTTGTTTTAAATAAACAATATATGTTTCAGGCAGAGCTTGAGAATAAACTACAGCAGCAGTCAGTGCAAGCAGCCCAGGAGCTCGCAGCAGAGAAAGAGAAGATAGCAGAGTTACAGAATACCTGTGAGACATCCCAGGAGAATCTAAAACAGCTTCAATCTGACTTCTACGGGAAGGAATCTGAACTTTTAGCCACAAGGCAAGATCTTAAGGTAAAGTAAGCTGTACTATGTCACATAAACTCAGCAAGTTGTTTGTAGACATTCCTTAAATGATTTGTTTGTGCCCTTATGGACAAGGGAATGGTATTTTTGTGATGTATGATATTTTTAGTACTAAATTGTTACTTTTGGATTAGCATATTTTTTTTAAAAAAGTGTTTTTTATTGTAAGAAAATACTGATGTACAAAAATTTGGGCAAATGTTATCTCTGTAATTTGGTGCATGTGTTAATTGTTACATCATTAACTTATCAAGGGATTTTGATGTCTTTATTTGAAAATAATCTCAAAATTGGGCAATTGTTAGAATTAAGGAGTTTTAAATAAACCACGTATTGTGACTTGTCAGACAGTACTGACTTAGTTTTCAAAATATGTCAACTTCCCAACATTCCTGGAAGGCCTGCTGATTAAAATTAGGAGATTATATCTGAAATTCAGTTAACTTTAATTATCTAACAATGTATAGAAATTTTGCTTTGGGTTACACTATTGATTAGATAAACCATCACATTAAATGATGGGTATGGAAAAAGGTTAAGCTATTGTTAATATAACATTAAGGTATCCATTCTTTAAGGCAATGGAATATTGATGTTTTCTCACAAAAGATCCAGCCAGTCCTTGCCCCCTTCCCTGCCCGCCTCGCAGAGGTGAAATACCATGCTTTCTGTCTCTTTCTTGTGTTTGGGATTTTTGTTTATTGTAAGGTATACTATTGATGAATTCTACTGAGAATCACAATATTAAAATGTTTTATAAACACAATGTATGTATTTTTTTCATAGGCTCTTTCAGGGATGGTTTTATGAAGGATATAGTACTTGCCAAGGTCCTGAAGCATGTGTGCAGTTTGTGCAGAGCGTATCAAGCAAGATCATTTTGCTCTGGGGCGCTTTGGAGAAAAGTTGCCTCCATGGGAGTGGGCAAAAGAGGGCACAGTGGCCTTGGTGGATGCTGGTCTCTGTATGGAAGTTAGGCTGCAGGAGTAAAGGCAGCTGAATTTTATATTTGAGGAAAAAGTGAAGAGTCTTGCCAGAGAGACAAAAGGAAGAAAACTCTTAGGAAACCACCTAGAGTGGTGTAAAGAAGCTTGGATTGAGGAGGAGGAGGAGATTAGTTAAGACATAATCTCTCTTCATAAATTTGAGTAATCAGAATCTGATTCATTTGGTTAGCACTAGGATTAACGTTAAAGAACATGGAAAGAAGAGATTAATGAGGGACAGAGGTCAAATAAAGGGGCCGAATGCATAGTAAGCTGCAAGGGAAGCGAGGGAGTTAATGATAATTTGACAAAGAAGTATGAAAATTGGGTAAACAGTTTCATAGTGCCAATAGTAGTGTACACTGTAACATACTGTACAGAGAGATAAAAGAAGGTTAAAATTAGCAGGAAAAATAGGAAACCATATTTATAAGAAATACACTCAGCATTTAAGTGGTGTTAAATTATCATTTCCTTCACACTTGTGGAGGAATCTGGACTTAACCGAAAGGCAGTGAGGAACCATGGAAGGGTGCTCCTGAGATTTGTATTTCAGGCAAAGGGCTGGCTCTGGAGGAAGCAGTGGTGTGTGGGCACATGGAAGAATGTAGAGGACACTTTATGTAGTCCAGGTGCAAAATGGTGATGGTTTGGGCTGGTAATAACAGTAAGGATTGCAAAACATGGGTAAATTTGAAGGATATTTTCATGATAGAAAAGCTGAATTGTACTGATTGATGGTAATGGTCCTCTAGAAATCACTCTTTTCATACTGATACATCATTTACCCAAAGTTTAAGCTAGAAATAGGACTTACAGTTCTTAAGTGAACTTTCACTAAGTCAACAATAATTTTTCACCTTTAGTTCTATTGTACACTAATAATTTCATACATGAAAAAATAATTCAAATGTAAACATGAACAAGAAGAGAAAGCAGAGGGACAGGTTGGCGTAGCATTTTATAACCAAGAGGCCTCAGGTAAGCCCTGTTTTTGGCAGCCTGCTTGCTTGCTTGCTTTTTTTCCAAAGAGAATAAAATAAAACAATGCAGAGCAAAGCAGATCAGAACAGAACAATGTAAACTCAAGATTTCAAAACAAGACAAGAGGAAATCAATAGTGGCTAACATAATGTCTCTTGTTTTCCTCAAAATAGTTGTCCATACCTTTACATGCAATAAAAAAAATAGTGTAAATCAATAAAAACAAAAGAATGAAATCATTGTGAGTCTTCAAAACCAGACAATAGGAAATCAACAATGGCTACCATAATTTGACAGCCAACTTTGACAGGTGAGGATAGACCCAGTGCTATCCAATAATAGAACCATGGTTAGATCTTTGTTCTTATTTAGAGCCTTCTGTACTTTCATTCACCACCAGTCCACTAGATGATTTTTTTTTACAAAATAAACTTTTTATAAATTCTGTATTAATGCTTCTAAAATGAGATGTCTATGAGCTACTTAGTAAATTAATTTTTTTAAAAAGTCTAAATTCTAAGAAGTTTAAATGGCATTTATAGACCAAAATAAGAGATAGTCATCAACCATTATTTTTCTTTAGTGGCAGTGACGTTATATGTTACTTATAAAAGAGAAGCAGAGATTGAGAAGCGTCTCTAAACTGATGCCTACTAAGCCAAGCCTGCCTGCTCTGGATGGACATTGAGCTTACACTTGGACACTAGTGAGATGGAAGGCAGCCTATCTGCTCTGTGCTTTAGCCCCATCTGCTGGAGCATTTATGAAATACTTTATTGACTGAATATTCCATGTTTGTTATATTCTGTGCTGGTCTTTGTTGTTAAGAAAAGGTACAAGTCAGATTGTTTGTTTGGTTTTTTGTTTTTTTGTTTGTTTGTTTGTTTTTGATGTCGGGGATTGAACTCATGACCTTGAGCCTGCCAGGCAGGCATTTGTGCTTCTGAGCTACACCCCCGGTCCCCAGATTTTATACTCAGTGATGTGAAAATTCTAGGGTAGTAAGTTGGAACTAAATATAAATCTTTATAGTCTAATACCACATCTCATGCCATTTTATCAGACATCAAGAAAAAGTAATAACTAAAATTTTAGAGGTTTTATTTTGAAAGAAGAATGAGAATGCTTGCTGAATAGACAAAAAATGATGGCTAACCCAAAACACTGTGAAACTTCTCTTTTGCTGGAGTGCTGTAATGTGATGGGAGAAATCGGTGTCAAAGTTGGTAGTTCACTCAGGGATACACTTCTATTGCAATGGGAATGAATACTTTAATGGTAATTCCAGCAAAAGCATGGGCTAGAAGAGGGAGGTTACCCAAAGGAAGATAACGCTGAACAAAGTTAGCATCTACAACAAGAAAGGTAAAGCAGCAGTCTATAGTAAGAAATATAAAAAGAACACCTAAAATGCATGGCAGTGCACCATGGACAGCATAGATGGGTGTTCAGAGGCAAGAAAGAGCAGTTCCTGCAGTCAGCTTCGAGAAGGACTTCATGAAGCAGTCCAATTTAAGTTTGACCATTAAGAACTAATCATATAGGCTGTGAGTTTAAAAATTTATAAACCATGTTTTTTTGGACCATTTAGAATTATTGTGGAATATTAGGATACTATTGTTTAGTATTAGGATACTAAGGCTGTAGTAAGCCTTGGTATTCTTTAATATTAGATTAGGACCACAGTTAAACTAGCAGTGGTTGCCATAGACCAATAGACTAATTAATGTGTTATTCAGCATTTCATTGCTCTGACAAAGCACCTGAGATAACAATTTAAAGGGGGAAAGATTTACTTTGGCTCAAGTTTGAGAGGTTCCAATTCAGGGTCAGCTGACTCCATTCTTTTTAGGTGAGTGACAAAACAGAAATATCATAGTTAAAAGGTGTGGTAGAGGAAGTCTCTTTATCTAACGGTAGGCAGTCAGCAGAGATGGGGAAAGACCTAGAAGAAGGCACTGAGAACACAATACAGACCCCACGGTCATGTCCTGTGACCTGGTCCCTTCAAGTTGGCCCCGTCTCCTGTTTCCGTCATCTCGCAGTAATGCCTGCACAGTATGGATCTGTCAGTGGGCCAATCCACTGATGGGGTTGGAACGCTCATGATGCAGTCCGTTTTCAAGAGCTTGTCAGCTGGCAGCCAGCCTTTAGTGCATAGTCCTTATGAGAACCTTCATATTTAAACGGTAACAACCAGGCTTCGCAAGTGTTACTCTGTTCATGTAAAATTGCTCTCACCCTTTGTGACACACAGGTCAGTTCTCAGGTATTCTGGAGCCTTCTGTAAACCATACTCCACAGAGGGTACTGCACTCATTGTTTCCTGTGCATTTGGCACATAGGTATTCTACCACCTGTGCAGTTTCTGTTTACATGATTATCCTGGTTTGTAGCTTACTGAGCTTACTCCTGTAGGTTAAGGGCCATCTTATACTCTCCTGTTATGCCTTAGCAGTGTACACAGTAAACAGTTGTCTGGTTGATAACGAACTAGATAACTTTAGGTGAAAAAAAAAATAAGCTTGAAGGGGTTTAGTGTTCTACTGATAGCCATTTAAAAATTTAATTTATATCAGAAATAATTCTAAATTGAGTTACTGGTAAGGAATAAACTTATTTTTTAAAGTTGTAGCATGACAAGGCATATCATAGAGCATGCTATATGTATATATGCATATACACACACATATATTGTGTCTTTTATTTATTTTTTACTGTGTCTCTTTTAGAATTGTTTTGTTTTATATCTCCTGATCTCTTTTCTCCATATGTTTTCAGAGTGTATCAGATATGGCTTATACTGATATAACATTCCTCGCAACACCTTGCTAGTGTTAAAAGTGTGATGAGCACTCAATAAAGTTTTAGATTACCTCTAGAAGTTTTAGAATTAATATTTCTAAATATTTTGTATCATTAATATTTCTACATAGGCATAGGAGTTATTGTTCCAGCATTTTTCTGCATGAGTTACTGAAAGGCATAACGTACTGTCTTTATATAATACAGTTATGTGCCACATGTTTCAGTTGGTGACAGACTGCATAGGCAATAGTGGTCTCAAAAATTATCATGGAAGTGAGCAACTCCAGTTTCCTAGATTTTTCCTGGACCTTTTGTATGTTTAGGTGTGTTGACCGCAGTACTTAGCATTGTCTTATAGCTCCCAATAGTATTCAGTACAGTAATACGCTGCACAGGTCTGCAGCAGGTGTGGAGTAGATGGGCCATCTGGCTTTGGGTAAGTTCACTGTGTGATGTTCAGATGACAAAACGAGCAAACGGCGATGCCTGGCACTTGTCCTCATTGTTAAATGATACGTTACGGTGTCTTACTTTCTGTAATACTTATATTAGCTGGGTTTTTTGTTGAAATTTGCTTAAAATGACATAGAGTAATTAGGAATTTTTTTTAAGTCTGTAGAAGAGAAGCTTTCTCTAGCACAAGAAGACTTGATTTCAAACAGAAATCAAATTGGAAACCAAAATAAATTGATTCAAGAACTAAAGACTGCCAAAGCTGCTTGGGAGCAGGAGTCGGCAAAGAAAGAGCAACAGTTGAAAGAACAGAGTAAAGCATTACAAGATACGCAAAAAGAAAAGGTGTGTTTGTTTTTCTGATTTAAATTCTGAGTTTTAGAGTGCCAGACTTAAAGATCATCAGGTCAAAGCACTTAGTTAGTATGTGCATTGCTTTTATTTTCAACAGCTTTAAAATTATTGTTTAATAAGTCATTATTTCTCCACAGTCAATGAAAGAAAAAGAACTACTGAACGAAAAATCTAAATTGGCAGAGATAGAGGAAATTAAGTGTAGACAAGAAAAAGAAATCACTAAATTAACTGAAGAACTGAAGTCCCACAAACAAGAAAGTATAAAGGTATGTTAAGATAAATCATTTTCTTCCCTTTTATGCTGTATCATTGTCCTTTAAACATATATTGTGAAGAGATTGATAGGGAACATGCTCTATGCTAGGCCAATTGTTTTTAACGAATAGTTTTGCCAGAATACTATTCGACGTATCTATACGCACATTGAAGCAATGCTACTTTTGTTTTCAGATTACTAAATAAAGCAAAGTAAGAGTTTAGATTTCATCAAAATGGTAATAAAGATTGATGTTCTTTAGAAAATTATGCCTGTAGGTATGTAAAAATTTAACATTTTAAAGATATTCTGCTTTTTTCAATATTTTTGTACTGTATCAATTATAAGACATCAATTGAAGACTTTTTATCATTTGCTTTAAAAAATGTTATTTTCTCAGAAAAAAAACTAGATTCTCTCTTGAAAGTGCTCAGACCTTTTATATCTATCATTGTACCTAACATTTTGCATCATAATTTATTATGTCCTGTCCTTCTGTTCCTCTGGAATGTGAGTTCCTGAGAGCAGCGAATACACACACACATATGCCCTATATCCTCAGTACATAACACAGTGTCTGATACCAAAATGATGACTGCCGAATGCTTGTTAAGGGAGAAAGGGAAAAGAAGGGAGTAGAGATTTTTTTCCATATATTGTTAGTAGAATCAAAACATGTGCACCCCACATATCACTGGGATTAAATGCTAACCGAGCGGGAAATAAATAGATGTACTTTTTAACCTCTTGTTTCCTGAATTTGGAGACTCACACAAGGATCGAATTCTTTGATGTGTAAATTGCATGAACTTCAGCTACTTTTTGAAATATTTACCATTAAGGATAATTTGTATCTTGGCCTTTTCAATAGGAGATAACAAATCTCAAGGATTCCAAACAGCTTTTGATTCAACAGAAGTTAGAACTTCAAGGGAAAGTAGATTCCCTGAAGGCGACTCTTGAGCAGGAGAAGAGAAACCAGCAGACGCTGAAAGAGCAGCTGAAGAAGGAAGAAGATGACCTCAAGAAGGAGTTTAGTGAGAAGGAAGCTCAAATGGTCAGTGCAGGGTTTCATAACAGCGGTTTAAATCAGTCTTCTTTAAATCAGAAAGCTTTTTTCTACCTAGAAGTTACAGCTGGAATGCTTTTTTAACATTTTAATTCTAAAGAAAGAAAACCTGATTTGCTTAAATAGCTGAAGTGTGATGAGAAGTATTCTGTAATCGTATTTTGACTTACACAAGTGAAGATTCAATTAAAATATAATTTTAAAACATTTTTATTGCTGGACCCAAATAAACCCATGATCAGATAGACTGAGATAAATCACATAAAATCTAATCATGTTAAGCTCATTTGTTTGGTCCAAGTGAATGCTGGTGAAGGGGAATGGAAATTTCAGTTTGGAATTACAGCAACAAAAGTCTGCTTTTCCTTCCCTGAGTTGTGTATGCCAAGGGGGAAGCATCTGGCTTTCCTTTATTGAATTAACTCCAAATAGTCCCAGATAACTTGATGGCTGAATGTTTTAGTTGAAAACTTCCCTTTTTTAGTTCAGTGACTCAAAGGCCTTGTATTGTTCTTCAGCAGCTTCATAGAGAGATTAAAGAATGTAGTGAAAGACATAAGAAATGCCAGTTTTATCTCTAGGGTATCCTGCAATCCCCGGACCATCACTTCAGTGTTATTGAAGCGATGTATTGGTGCCCATTCAAATTAGACAGCTCGTGAGGAACTGGTTTTATTAGGGCACAATGAAACATTTCCCTGTCTCTTTTCTTAAAGAAGCAGTATATTCTGATATTTTAAGTTCAATAATTATTCTGATATTCTGATATTTCAAATTCAATAATTAACTCATTTATTTCACACTACTTTTGTAATAGGTTTTCTTTCTACTCTTTCTTTTCTCAGCATTCGGAAATAAAAGAAAAGGAAGCAGGAATGAAGAAACATGAAGAAAATGAGGCCAAACTTACCATGCAGATTACAGCATTGAATGAAAACTTGGGCACTGTAAAGAAGGAGTGGCAGTCCAGTCAACGGAGAGTTAGCGAACTTGAGAAGCAAACGGATGACTTACGGGGTGAAATTGCAGTCTTAGAAGCCACGGTTCAGAATAATCAGGATGAAAGGAGAGCACTGCTAGAAAGGTAATTGTTTAGTAAAGTCAGTTTATTTTTGTTATAAGGGATAAAGATTTGTCATACTCCACATTTTTAGAAGAGAAAATAGGTAATTTCAGTGCATATTTAAATAACCATCTCAAATTTGACCCTTAAAGTAATGTATGGAAATTAATGTATATTTAAAATTACTAATGTTCATTTAGTTGTTTCCCAGAGGGTCTTTATGATTTATTTAAAAATGAATTTTTTCACTGTTTATTCCAGATGTCTTAAAGGAGAAGGTGAAATAGAAAAACTTCAGACCAAAGTGTTAGAGTTGCAAAGAAAGCTGGATAACACGACTGCAGCGGTGCAGGAGCTGGGCAGGGAGAACCAGTCCCTGCAGGTCAGTCCCCTGGTGACTCAAGGCGGTTTCATACTCTAAAACTGACCTCTTAGTAAAAAGCATATTTTCACCTTTTAAGGAAAACCTCCAGGGATAGTGGTGTAGTTAAAGAGCCATTGCCTGGCATCTGCAAAGTTCTTCATTATGCAACTGCAAATCAAAAACAGTAAAATAAAACCAACAGAGCCTCTCGTTTGTTTCAGGGTCACAGAGATTAGTTTGAGAGCCATGTCATTCATAAGCTGTCTGTACAGGGAAAGAATTAGAAATTTCAAGAATACCAAGTCAGTGTGCGTTGGAAGAAGCAGCAGTCTGTGTTCTCAGAATCCGGGAGAAACACTTCTTAGAGTTAGAATGGAGGGGAAATCATCAAAGGCTAGAAATTACTAACACATCTTAGGAATTAAATCTTAGTTAGCTTTCCTTTGTTATTGAGATTTATAAATGCTACTATTTTTGACAAATGGAAATTGAACAAGTTACGATATTTCTGTGTTTTAAATTTTTATTCAGTGTTGCATCTAGGTAAAATTTTATAAATATCTGACATCTTAGTAGAAATCCATTATTCTTTAAAATGTTGTGTAATTTGTTGAAACTTTTTTTTTTAAACAGATCAAGCACACACAAGCACTGAATAGAAAATGGGCTGAGGACAACGAAGTACAAAACTGCATGGCCTGCGGGAAGTGCTTTTCAGTCACAGTGAGACGGGTGAGTGGTTCTGTTCCCAGGTTGCGTTTCTGATTCCTCAGTCACCAGTCTTTAACTGGCAAAATTGTTCTGCATTTGACAGGTTTTTAAAAAAAAATTTCTACTTAGAGGTAAATTTTAGTTTCCATCTATGTATAAGAAGTAAACTTCATGCAGTCTAGTTCCTAGTTAGCATATGTGTTTTCAACTCAGTCGTTTCTTTTCTGTAAATGACTTTTCCTATTCGGGGACAGCTGTTTTCTGAACCAGTGTGTAGATAATAAACTCATGTGTTTTAGTCAACTTTAGGTGCTTTGGAAGGAAGAAAAAGGCAGAGAGTATTCAAGAAATCTATTTTAAATAATACCATCATTTTAAAATTCCGGCTGAAGGCATCCCTGAGATCGTTGGTAAATTAGAATAGTTTCACATTTGCTAGGGATGCTTTAACACTTCACAGTGCCTTCTTGGATCCTTGAGAATTTCATGGTAAGAGTCACATAAAATGTTTAGCATGATATTTATATATAGGGAGTGTTCAAATCGAATGCAACAAGAGGTTGAAGTTTATGTCTTGAAATATTGTGTCATTAAATATTAGAGTAACCACTGGAAAGTTGGCGTACCTGTATACTACTAGTATACTGTTTAGTTTGTAATATTCATCTAATTCTGTGATGCTTTTGGTACAGTTTTTAAGCTTGAAATTGTTTGATTTTTGTCATCTGTAGCATCATTGCCGACAGTGTGGAAACATCTTCTGTGCTGAGTGTTCAGCCAAGAATGCCTTAACGCCTTCCTCCAAGAAGCCCGTGCGCGTCTGTGATTCATGTTTCAATGACTTGCAAGGGTAACGGGTCGCCATGGCATACAACTGTGTTACGCTACGCCAGATTTTCAACACGTGTGCTTAGGAGAGGTCTTGGGACTGTTTGATTTGGACTTCGGCTGCAATTCTAGACCAAATTAGAGTTCGTATATTTTGGAATGTTATCAATATCAAGTAAAAGTCTTCTATTTTTGTGAGGCTTGGATTCATCTTCATTACCTTTTTCCATTTAACCCCTGAGATAGCTTTCATGCCAACTCCGACTTAGTCAATGAAATGTAAATAAACTTTGGACAGAAAATAGCAATGTATTTTTTTAAATATAATTTCATTGTTCACAAATGATGAATACAATTCCATAGCTTACTTCTTTCTCCCAAATTGTATGTACAAAAGTGAACATGAATGATGTTATCACTTGCTTTTGTTGCACAATAACATTAGTTATATTAAATATTCTCTCTGTGGAATCATGCACAGGACTGTAACACTTTCTTTTTCTTTTCTATATAGGTGTGTAGCTCAATTATACTGTTTTGTTACAAATTTACTACTTGGGTGTTCTAAATATAGTTTATGTTAAAGTATATATTAATCATCAGTTCAAATATGGCTTTTGTTTTAACAGTATTGATTAAATTCCTCAGTACATTTTATAAAACCCTCTATAAAATCAGTTTGCTTACTTTGTGGGAACCCCAGGGTTATGTTTCAAAGATTAGGGTTAATTTTTCTTTTTCTTTGTGTCTCTTTTATCTCAGTTTTAAACTTCCACATACTGTCCATTAAAATTCCTTTAAAACCTCTTACTTTCTCAGTTGGAGGAGGAAGAATAGAAATTGTATAGTGGTCTAATTCTTACTTTCTTGTTAATGAGAAATCTTCTGAGATTAGCCTTCATGTTATAACCTTAATACTCTTACCTTTGTCTGCATCTCCAGGAATCTGAGTTTGTATTTTTAAAAGATCTGCCTCTTTTCTTTTACTTGGTTTGATCTTCCCAAGCATAGCTCAGCTTCACTGTAATTGTTTTTATCAATATGGGTCTTAAAGTTAGACATTGCTATAGTCTTATCCTTGAAAACAAAATGTAAAGTGATAGAAAAGATAAAATATTCTATTTTATATTTTAATTTTACCTAACAGCAAAGAATTTTAGAAAATTGTTAAAAATGACTTACTCTTAAAATGGTTCTAGGTTAGAGTTCTATATTAACTGGAAATGTTATCTGCAAAAAATATGCTTGACATTATCTTTAAGTAACAGCTAGAGACTAGTGTATCACCTAAGAAAGATGTATTTAGGAGCCCTCATGTTACAGTGAACACTGAAACAGATTTGCCAAGCACCTTAAGGATAATTAAGAACCTACTCGTATGGTGAACAGTGAAATTGAATTTTAATATTTCATAGTCTTATTACTTTGAAAACTGGAAAACATCTAAAAGCAGCATTTATTAATTTTAATTTATCTTTCTAGAAAAGAAACTTTAAAGTAATACATTCATTCACTGCATTCACTTAATAGCAGAGGATGAGAGTTAATATTTCATTTATAATAACATAATATACACTTGCTTTCAAATATCACACTGAAATGAAACAGTCACATTTACATAATATCTAGAACATAGGTAAAATGATTGCCACATACTGGTTTAATTATTTTAAAAGTAAACCCTGTTGGCAGTAGCTGTTAAGGACATTAATTAAATTTCTGGACTTAGATAAACATACATCTTTGAGCATATGTAATAAATAAATGCAATTTCTATCAAAATAATACTTGGGTAATATAAACAGAGCTATTCATGGATTTTTATATCATAAGTGCTTTCAAATAGTATTAAGTTTATACTTTTACATTCAAGTAACTTAATGAACTTGTTAGCAAAACCCACAGCACCACCATTTTTTTGTTAGTTTTAAGGCAGTAGAACTTTAGGAGAATTCTGGGTGAGAATGTTTCTTTGCTTCTTCTCCTGGGATGCACTGTATTCTGCCCCCTACCCCAGTTCCTACACACATTCACAAAAACATTGTGAAGAAAATAAATAAAACCATGGTTGAGCTATTTTTCTCATTTTTGTCTCATCTCGTTTCATAGATTGCAAATAGTCTATCTACCATTGGCTACTATATGGATAAAATAAGTGAAACCAAACAGTTTTGCTAGTAACTTACCAGCTGAATGTGTTTTGAAACTGAACCTTGGTGTTGTTTTCCCCTCTGATTAAATAGTCCTCTTTTGGGTTCCTATTGGCTCTACATTTTAGGTGTTTGCTGGTACTATCATTTTGTCAGTGAGACAGAGCTGGCAGTTCTTAGTTCTGGTGCGGAACATTGGCATCAAGTCTTAGTGAACTGCAAACCTCAGCATAGAAATGTGAGTTAAAAATCCAGTCTTGCTGGTTAGTGTACAATAAAGTATTTTTAACAGAAAGAAGACAATGCTGCTGGCATAGGATTTGTTTCTTTTGAAGAAAGAAAGAAAGCAGGAAACAAACACAAAACCTCAATACAGTATACAAATAACATTTTGTTCAACTACCTCTTAAAGTGGAATTAGCTACTTTAATAGTTTCCTTACAGTAATGTTAAATAGTAACTGCCAAATTTGTTATTTTCCCATCTCTTTAAAAAGTGTTTATGATTATTTTATATAGTTTTGAGATCTTTAAAGTCACTTTTTTTTAACCTTGCATTTGCATAAAAATATTTAGCTTTTAAGTGGAAAGCAAATTCTGATTATATATTTTGATATTCACGACCTGTTTGACTATAGCAGTTTTTTTTTTAATGCACTTTGGCTATAAAATGGTGGATGATTTGATCCATAAGATTTAAATGCACCATCCATTTACTATTCCGAGACATGAGCTTGATGAATGATATTCTGTAATTATAATGTGCCACACATTACCATGTCTTAATTGCCCTTTGCCTGAATTTTAATGATCAGTTTGTTATTGTTGCAGATGTGAATATTGTGCATACACTTACTAAATTTATGTAAAATTGTATAATGGAATTGGAAATCACTAAGTTCTTTTCATGTAGAAGTGAGCTTACTGTGACATGATGCAGTCATTTGTATGGCATCCTGTACTTCTTCAAACTGGATCATGAGGTCATAGCTTCTGTATATACTTTTGCATGAGTATTTTTTCATTTAGTTTTTGGGTTCGTTGTTTGTATTGTGTTTACTATGTGTGATCATGTAGTTGTGCCTTACTTTGTGAGAGTTTAGCTCAGTAAATACTGTAATTTCTAACCTCAATGATTAGAAGGTTATTGATTATAAATATGACAAATTACCTGACAGCATTTAAATCTGTATAAAGAACAATGGAAGGATCCTTACTGAATTGTTTCATTTGTTTTTTAATGTTAAAGATGATATTAAAACAGTTCTTTCTAATAGATGTGTTCTGTGAACAAATTATTTTGGCTACTTGAAAAAGAGACAAGATCTTAACCATTTTCCATGACTTAATTTATAGAATATTAGAACTTTGCATTTGGATATAGACAATGATTATGTTTTCATGTTCTTCAGTTTAGGATACTTATTATTCATGATCTTAAGAAATTATTACCACCATTTTGCTTCACACATTCATTCTCTTTTCACTGTATGCAATATTGTAAACTTTAAAAAAGTATTAAAGCTATCAAATTAGTCCCTCTTTTCACTGTGTAAGTTTAATCCCCATATATCTACTTGATACTTTTTGAAAGCCAGTATACCATTGTTCTTTTATCCCCCCCCCCGTCTCCTTGGGCACTAGAGTCCCAGAATTTCCTCCCATATTTCATTCTAATTTCTTTCCCACTGAAAAGTTATTATGCATATCCCCAAACATGTAGTAAACATTGTGTATCAGCTACGCTATTTTATGAGCCTTCCAGTATTCCAGTTGGTGACCTATTCTTGAACATTTTACATCCCTTAAGTTCTTTTTGTCTATTTAATAAGATGTAAGAGTGACACTAGATCCTTATATGTATAAATATGTGATTACTAGACTCATGGAGCTAAAGGAATCTTTAGTTGAGCAATCACCTAGTGCTAGTCACTGCCTTCCTCCCAGGTTGATTCGTAGCTCAAAGACCCTGCAAGATGATTGTTAACTTTTTTTTCCTGAAAATATTGATGTTAACCAAAATTTCGTTAGAAATCTTTTACAAACATCTCTGTGCCTTGTCCTAGACATAACTGCTTTCAGTTCTCTCCAGATACTGTCTATAGGAACTCACTTGAACTCTGTTCTCTTCTTTTGTGCCTCCCTCCCCTGACATTTATTCTTAGCTGTGAACAGTAGTTAGTACTTTCCAGATTCACCTTTTCTTTTACTTACCCCTAAGACGTGCCTGACACTACTGTCCAGAGACTGCTCTCCATGCTAGGAGTGTCTCCCTGTCTTTTCTACTGCACTTGCCCATATGCCTTGTTCACATGGTGAAATTTGTGCCCACTTTAAAAAACTTACTGTACAGCTGGCTTCCCCAACCTTCATCCTCTCTGTCTAGTTCTTCAACTTAATTAAAGAAACCATTTAAAATTTCAGTTGTCTTGCAGCCAAATTCGATAAACTTGTTCCTTGCACTGTGGAAACTGCAGAAAGCACTATGACTTGGACATTTGTGGGTTTCCACTGAATAAAGTTTAACCGTAAGCACAGATTCTTCAGTTGCATTGATAACAGGTAGCTTATCTTGATAGAGTTTAATGATGCTTTAAGTTCTGTCAGATAAAATGATTATACTGTTCTTATGAACAGCTCCATGTTAAACTATTAACTGGTAAATCTGGAAAAATATTGTTCTCTTAAAAACTGAAATCTAATCTTATGCAAATTAGATTATTATAAATATATCTAAGATATATAAACATTGAAAATAGAAATTCTAAAACTGCTATTAAAATGACCTTATTTATTAATAGGTTAAAAGAGCCACAAACTTTGTATATCAAAACTTACTGTGTTTGAGGTAGGTCTATACAGCAGTAAGATTGCGTTATAAGCAATGTAGAAAAGTCAGTTTCATTATTTGATAGATACTTACAGAGTAAAATGCTAGAATTCATATTGGACGCAAGCACTGCCCAATCTTTCTGGTACTCTGCTTTTCAGCCATTCACTATTTACAAATTATGACAGCACCGTTCTTCACTTGTGCTCCATACAAGTCTGAAGCGGTAGAAGACCGTGTTGGATATCAGTCCGTGCTTGTAAAGAAATCCTCGGAGCTCAAATTTGTTGCCGTCATCATTCCGCTGTACTAAGGGCTTCACTAGCTCAAATTCTCAAATTCTGGAATGCCTTTAAAAAGCACATTTCAAGTTTATCACGAATTTAAATGAAAATGCTTTAAACTCAAACCTCTTAAAAAGGTATGCCACTTGTTTTAAGTTCCTAAATTTCAGAAGATTCTGCAGGCAATGTGAATAAAGATATTTTCTTGGTTTCCTGATTCTTGGTGAAGCAAGAGATTGCTGCCGTTATTTGTGCTATCCATGCTTTCTGTTAGAAAAGAAAAATGTGTAAATAGAATGTTAAACTGATAATTTCTCATTTGAATTAATTTCCCATTATGCTTTTTGGCTTGCTCTCTAAAACTAAAGACTAGGAAAACATTTGCATATGTTTCTCATTTTCTTTCTGGTGACTCACAGCTAGGAAAATGTAAACAGATTAGATGTGAGTAGTGTGTCAGTTGGCTAAACGGTCATAGTAGTCAATAACTAATTAGAAAAATGAACACTGATAATCAGTTTGAAAGCTGGATTTCTTGAATTCACATTAAGAAACAGAAATTCTTGACCGGTGGTATAATTTGAAAAACAGATTCCAAGGGAGATGACCCAGGAAATTGAGTTCTTAAGAGTAACGGAACAATGCGTTTATTCTCTGGCCATATTGTTGCTGGGATAGAAGACGACAAGGGGAAAGACAAAAACAGAAACTGCTAAATAGAGTAGCCAGAGCCAGGCAGCTGCTCTTTCAAGTCCATAGCTGTGAAAACAATGGCATATTCTCCAGACTTGAAGAGCGGACTTGGCGTCGTCCACAAGCTCATTGCCTGGTATCAGTCGTGCGGGTGGCACGTTATTTCCATGCTGGGAAATGAGTGGCTAACCTTAAAAGTGAATCATGTAATCCTAAGCAATTCTTTCCCTTTTTCCTACAGAAACTGTGGAACTCAGAGGCAGCTCTTGACTTTCTGCACCAGGAAGAAGTGGGAAAGGCTGTGCAACTGGGCAAGCGTGAGGAAACTGTCACCCCTGAGATTTCTGAGCATGGGTGGGCGAGAGCACCCTTCGCTACCGACCAGTTGCACTCCTTCCTAAAGCGGGTCAGGACTTACATTAAATCTCCTAATACTACACCGTTATTTGAGAAGCTTGGAATTTTTCCCTCTGTAAGTAAACTCTGAAGAATCAGAGATCTACAAAATTAAGATACATACTTTGATGTTTTCTGTCTGGGCTTGTAGTAAGAATGCCGCTATACACTGTCGGTATCTGTTTTCATGTTGTAGAAGAAACGCATTTCTCAGTCCAAAGGCTAGACAAAGATATTACACAGACAAAAAGCCAGATTATTTAATAGGAAATTCCACGAGTATCATAGCACAAGAACCCTATTTAGGTGGCTGTCGTTAACGAGGGTGAGCGGTTTACCTAGATCACCTAGGTGGGTTCTGACTCCAAGGCTGATTCTGCCCCTGTGTCCAAACAGCCCCCTTTCATACAAAAACCCTCTCTCCTACAAGTGACTTCTGGTAGCTGACGAAATGCAGTTCAAGTGATGGAAAATGGGCTCCACACAACACAGTCTAGGCATGGCTGGGTAGTTGTGTGTATACGTGTGAAAAGGTAATTAAAAATGAAAATAAGGATGACAATGCATTCTTTTTTTTGGTCTCCACTACTCTTTAAATGTTCATTTTTGTATTTAAGTGAAAATTACATCAAAAGAATGCTTATATAATTAAAGGGTGATTAAAAAAGGGTGGTAAAAATCAGGGCTGGGGGTTTAGCTCAGTGGCACAAGTGCCTGCTTGGCAAACATGAAGTCGTGAGTTTGATCCCCAGTACCAAAAAAAAAAAAAAAAAAAAAAAAAAAATTCAAAATCACCTGAATAGGCCAAGGAAAGCTAGGAAATACAATTATGAAATAAAATGCATTACTCTCCAAATTATGTGAACTGTGTAGCAAAACAAAACAGAAAGAAATGCATGGTTTCTGTGTTTACAAAAGAAACAAATCTGCTCTTTTGGTTTCTGGCTGATCTCAGAAATGACAGGAGTACTAGGGAGTGGATTCCTTTTTTTTAAAACAGGAATTCTAAAAATGAAGTAACTGTCTTGATTTATTCATACAAGAAATAAAATTCTGCAGCCAATAGTCTTTCTGAAATTCTTAATGTTCAGAATCAAACAGACAAACCAAAAAAAACCAAACCAAGCCCGGGGAGAAGAGAGACAGCGAATGCCTTTTATTCCTGGTGCTTCTGCAGTCATTGTTTTGTTGGAGTTTGTGAATTTAACTCTGATTCGAGGCAGATCAGGCTGCATTTCAGAATCAAAGTGAATGTAAGACTTTATTAACTGCACATTATTAATATCACAGGTTATACTCGAAAGAGTTTGAACTTCATAATTCCTAAATTCTACTACAACAGGTTAGTCCATGTCAAATCATAAAACACTGTCCAGTTTCCTGGGATAAAAGACTAAACCTATCAAAATGAGTTTGGGAAAAAGCTGGCTGGGTTTTGTTTTACTCCCTGAGTTTTTTCTCGTATAAACCTCCTACAGCACACAAGGCTTTAAAGATCATGTTGTTCTTGGCTGGTGTTTGGATCCATTTTCCTCAAACGTTGAATCTGGGGTTCTGCTTGGCGCTCACTTGTTAGGATTATAAAATGGGCATAAGGGACTCCATAAACAAATGACCTGGCATGGTCAGCTCTGTAAAGTACTATAAGGAAATAATAAAAATGGGAATAACTGGGTTTTTTTCTTCTGACTTTCTAATATAGTTGCTAATTTTTAAGGCTTTTACTAGGTACTGGGCTCCAGGCTGGTTTTTTTTTTTTTTTAATTTCTGTTTTGTGTCATTTAAGCCACATAGCAATCATATGAGATAGGTCAACTAATTCCTGCTTACAAATAGAGAACTAGGAACCAGATGGAATTTGCATGTGACTTGGCCACGGTCTGGGATTAGGGCTCAGTCTTTCCAATGCTTGGCCTCTTTTTGTCCCCACCTTCTCTTTGCCACTTTATTGCTATTTTGCGTCATACACTACATGCAAACAGTTGACAGACCCAGGGAACAAGAAAACCATTTCCTAAAAAGGAACAAGACATTCTAGCTACAAATCAGAAAATACAGTGAAAGTGTAGTTTTTTGGAAAGATATTTTCATTGATTTTTAGAAAAGGAACAGGGAAGAAACAAAGGTCCCCCAAGGTAATCCAGTGATGTCAGATTTTCCATAAGGTCCAGTTCTTGAGGTGACAGGGCTATGACTAAACCAATCCCTCAGCCAAGCTGCTGGCCCTCTCCTAGTGGAGTTAGGGCAACTTCTACTCCTGATGCCAGAATCTTCAAAGCTTCTGTAGTGGGATAGTACACCCCTAGCATGGAGTGCCCTCTGACATAATCTTCCCTCATGAAAAAGTAGGCAAATCACAGCATGGAAGTGGTTCCAAGCCTCCACCTACAGAGCCCTTCTTTTTTTATGTCTTTTTTGTTTTTATCAGTACCAGGGATCAAGGCGCTTATGCCGCTGAGCTAAATCCCTAGCCCCGAGCCCAAGCCCGAGCCCTTACTTTCTGACACTACTTGTCCATCTCCCAAGCAGGGAGTAAGCTCGCACTGTAAGTGGGTACACAGGCTAGAAAAGCCTAGGAAAAAACTCGTTTTAGTCTTGATTCTAAAACTACTCAGGCCTTGGCCTATGCAATATTTGGATGTTGAATGTCCTCTAAAGACCCAGGTAGTAAAGGTTTGGTCTCCAGGTTGGAGGAGGTGGAGCCTGGTGGAAATATTTAGGTTGCAGAGGATACGCCTTTAAAAAAGATTATGGGACTCTGTCTCTATCTGTCTATGTGTCTGTCTGTCTGTCTGTCTCTTTCCTGACAATGAGGTGAGCAGTTTTGCTTCTACCAGGTACTCCTTCCCTGAGGTTCTGCCTAACCACAGGATTAAAACAACTGGGCCAGCCCATTAGAGACCACAAGCTCCAAAATTGTGAGCCAAAACATACTTTTTCTCTTCATAAGTCAAGTACTTCAGGGCTTTAGTTATAATGATGGAAAACTTACTTATACAGCCTCTCTAGACTGTAGTTGATCCTGGCCAAATCAGACACAAAAGACTACAGCCTACCTGCCTGTGTAACCCTTCAGCAAATCGTACTGAAAGTAGACAGAACAGAAACTGTCTCTGAGCACAGGCTTCCCTTAGTGGACTCCCTCTGCTTCAAGGGAGAGAAGCTGCATCCATTACTTGGGTATATAACATAACTATATAGGTGTTTGCTCTTTATTTGTATATTCATTTAGTTACTCATTACTTAAACTGCTTTAATATGTCTGGGTCCATCTATGTGTACCTATTTGTTTCTGGCATATTCCTTCCTATAGTGTGATTGTAATGAAGAATCTTATATGTTCATAATGTATCATGCTTTACCAACAACAATAGTACTAATAATGCTAGTAGAATAAAAATACTAATAACAGCTATCATTTGTACTACTTCATTTACTTCTTATGAAAATTCACTGAACACTTATTGTTATGCCTGAGCCTAAAGTGACATAGCAAGGGATGACAGAATGGGGTAATCCAAGTGCTGGGTACCATAACTAATTCAGAGTGAATGATACGTAACACACGAAAACACAGACTTGTCTTTCATGAAGGCATTACATTGGATTTATGTCCTTCTACCAAAAAAAAAAAAATCTCAGTGTAAAACTGTGATGACCAACAGAGGATCTGAGTGATGGAAGCAGACACATACCTGACACGTGGAGTGGGTCAATGCTTTTGACTACCAATCTATCTAGTGGAATGGGTTGATCAAGTACTGTACAAGAACCACCCTCTTTTATTATGGTTTGCAGCTCAGGAGTAAGTGAAGGACACAGTAAGCCAGTGTCAGAGCCTCCAGGTTTCTGAAATCAAAGAGGAAAATAATGCAGTACAGGAAAATAAAGCTGGTGCATAAACCCCAAGTGCATCCTTAAGCAAATGGGTTCTCAGAAACAAGTCTCTTGATGTCCAGCTCACTATTCTTTTGGGATATTGCAATGCGTGTCCTCAAAGTATAGTGATTTAAGGCAAAGTGTTTGGGATCTCTAATTCTAATTACTTGAATAAAGAATGACTGGCATCCATAATTGGAAAATATTTTAACCACTATCAGATTATTGGGAAGATCCTCATCCCTGGTGTCTTAATTCCACTCTAGTACTGAGCTGGATGAATGAGAAAAAGGAGCCTTATTTTGGCCCATTCTCTGTGTGGGATCTCATATGAATCTGTACATAGAATCTATACTCTATAACTAGTAAATAATTGAAATTGTTTTGAGTATAGAAGACCAGAGTTATTTGAAAACGGTGTAGAATATTGTGACTTGCATGGTATTGTACACCAAATAGCAAAGAGGAATGCAAATTGATGGCATTCCTTACTTGGAAATCAAGTTGTGAAGCAGGAAACCAGAATGTTACCTGATTATGCAATCAATATGGGCTGTCATCAACCCACGGGCTCTGGGTTGCACTGCTTTTGAAGTGGAGGTGGGTTGTGCTGGCATCAAGGTTTTCAAAGGAGGTAAAGATTTCTCAGAGTTTGTCTTATTAAAACATGGAAGTCTGAGTAATTTAAAACGGGAGACCATGCAAATCCTGTAATGATGACTTTCTATATTCTGCAACACCCACTCGCTCCCAGACCACTCATCAGCTAGCTATTCATAGATTAATAAGTGTTTATTTTATTGCTAAGAGCTTTTTAAAACATTATTTATCTCAACTAACCAATTTTTCATCTAAAATCTTAGCTTATTAAAAGATATAAGGCACTTAACTGATGATGTTATCTGTGTAAGGCTAGTTATTTGATAAAAAAAACAAAGGAATAAAATAATATCAGGTATCTCTGAAGGCTTAAGAGCAACTGTAGTTCCTCCTCCCACCAGCAAGGGCAGGCGTGTGAGCCTGCTGATTACTACTCTCAATTACCACCAGAGCAGACTCCCAATCAGAGAGTAGAAAGAGAGCCTCATGTGGACTGTCAGACCAATGGCTTAATGTGCTCTTAAAAACAAAACAACAATAATAATGGTAATGATAATACTTAATTTTAATGAAAAACCCCTAATCCTTGCAGAGGTTTTGTGACTCTAGTCACAAAACTGACTCACTTTGTCTGTGATATGAGCTGTGCATTTGTCAGGCTCTTGAGGTCCTTATGCAGCTGGACACTGAACAATCAGGGCTTCCTCCAGCTCTGCCCCCAAGTCACCATGTCTCAGATCAGTGTGAGCGATGGAGACCACCTTGTGGTGTGGGTGTGACACTGGCCACTCCTTGTGCTGACCAAGTTGGAAGAGTCAATATGGACAAAGACATTTTGGGGGTTCTTTGTGTAGGCAAGTGAGGCATAAAGGCCATTGTTTCTTGGACTCACCTTGAAGACACATAGACTAGTTTTAAAAATATACATCTCCCTTGGTATGCTTGAGAAATATAATTTGCTTGTTATTTATTTTGTTTCATTTTTAGACTGTGAGATCCATTTGGAAGTACTATAAAGATGTTCATAGTGTTAACAGAGCTTGTTTAGAAGTACAGTCAAACTCATTGAGAAACTTCGAGAAACAACAGCATCTTACCTTTCTGTTGCGCTTGGTTTTTGTAACTAAGAGGAAGTCATCAAAGAGAAACAGATAAACATCTAGAAATCTTGTGCTTTCTGGAAAGAAAGGAAATAGGAAAGAAGGAGAAGGTAAAACAGGGTCTTCCAAGGTAAACTGATCTTTCATTTTATAGAGTAAAGATCCTTTAGAAAACAAAACAAGGAATCCCTAAGTGGTGGGTAAGAAAAACTGTGTCAAGGTTGAATTGATTTTTTCCTAAAGCACAGGCTTGGTTAGAGTTCAAGCATCCAACTTGAAAGACTTTGTATTTGTGATGGATTTCTAGTGGATCTACGGTAGCTCACATGGTATTTATAGCACTTTCAACTGAGCTGAGGACAAATGCATCAGGTAACAGAACTTGACTCATTTACACATTCATCAGAGAAAAGGCCTCTGGCAATTTCTTAGGCTAAACTGTATGTTCTCAGTTCATATGTTGAGGCCCTAATCCCCAGTATGGCAATATTTAGAGAAAGAAAGCAGATAAGGTACAACAAGGTAATGGGCACGAGCCCAATCCAACAGGATTAGTGCCCTTGTGGGAAATGTCACCATGAGTCATTCTGTTATGTCAGGACAGAGGTGAGTAATACCTGTACGTAAGGAAAGGAGCCCTTGCCAGAAACCAACAGGACCCCAATTTGAGATTTCTTGCCTCCCTTCTGTGAGAAATAATGTCTGCTCTTTGAACCACCCAACTCATTGTATTTTGGTTAGCGGCAATAGTTGACCAAAACAGTCAGGCAGGCTACTTATTTCTTATGTCTTACAATGCATCTGCAAATGTTTAAATATTCTCCATGGGCCTTGGGGTTTACAAAGTTTTCTGATACTTCTTTTGCTAGTTACTTCAGCAACTAAGAAAAGAAAGAAAAATGTCCTTAAGAAAGAAAACAAGTAGCAGGAGAGAAATCAAATATTAGGTAAGGTATCTATTTCCTCATTTTCTTTCTCTGAAATTGGAAAAATAATGGTTAAATTTAAGTGACTTCAGATCAGGTGTTTTGTTTTCAACCAGGCTGAGTTAAAAATCCATCAGGTAACAGAACTTGCAGGATTTTGCCTCTTGACTCATCTACACATTTATCAGATAAAAGGCATTTGGTCAGTTCTGCTATTTTGTTTTATGAGGACACAAACGAATTAGACCACTTTATGACCTTGTTTTACCCCAATAATTTCCTTACTACTAATACAGCCACACTGGGGTGGGCTGTTCGATATGAGAATAGGCTGATGGTGACCATTCAGTCCACAGCAACCTTCAAAACCTGTTACATTTATTTTGCCACCCCCTGCTACTTGTACAGCTTAATGATTGTTGTCAAAATGAAGTAGTTCTTAGTTCATTTGTTAATTTCAAGTGTTTCATTTTTAACATACAGGCTACCAGCACCTTCCTTGTGACTTTATTCTGGGAAAGGATGATTATTTTAGTCACCATTTAGGAAGGTCCAAGTGTTCCACCAAGCAATCGGCAGTGAGATCTGCTGCACATTGAATGTTAAGATGGTTTTTCTACTTTTAAAAAGCTTTGATTCTAGGGGGAGCAGGTGCGTAGTCAATAGTAAACGAGATTTAAAATAAGGTAGAGGTAGAAACTGATAGTGGCAGAGAAAAGAAATAGGGTATTCTCAAACGCAGTGACTGCGGAGGAAGAGTGAAAGCTGAAAATCACACTTACTTTCCCGCTAGCCTGCGACTACACAGCCCAGTGGGAAGCTTTCACCAGGCGATTCCATTCTGCTTTACTAATGGCCACTGAGTCTGGAATTAGGATCCAATAAGGGCCACACAGACTGCCCTGCATACGTTTGTGTGGATTTATCTCTGCTTAGTCTTTGTTCCTGGGCCCTGCACCGCATGCAGCATGGAGCACGATACTGCTGTATTTTACCACGGCAGTGGCTTGAGCAGTGGGTGACCGTTAGGTATCACAGCTGTGGGGTCATCCTGTCTGTCTACACCCTACTCACTGTGACACTGACACACACCAGTCCTCAGAGAGCCGTGTATTTGTGAAGGGTATGCATCCTGAATTCCAAAAGTTATGAAAATAGCTCCTTCAGGGAATGGGAAAATATGCTTATTTGATTAAAACAGTGTGGTGTTTAACATCAGCAGAAGTCTGGAAACATCACATATGTAAGGCTTCGTCATCATCGTCACAGCATTTAGAGAGGAAATTAAGGGAATTCAAACTTAATGTCCCAAAGCCCACGTTGGCTATAGACCCCTCCTGTTGTTGTTTTGCTTTTGGTTTGTTTCTGTGTGTGTTGGGCATTGAACCCAAGCCCTGGCACGTGCTAAGCAGGAGCTCTACCCCTGAACCATACCCCTCAGCTCTCTGCCTCGGCTTGGGGATTTTCCCACATCATATTTCTTCTAACACTATCAACCCTGCCCCATCAAATTCATACCCAGCTCTCCTAAGTGCAAGTCCCACCACTTTCAAACTTGATTTGTTGCTCTATTGTGCATGTCTCCTCTTTGCTGGCCTTTGACCAATACAGATTGTGTCATTCAACAGGTGTCAGTGGGTGTTTACTACACACGAGACTTTGAGCTAAGTTCTTCAGGTACACCATTTTGCTTTAGCAATAGTTTTATGAGCTGCCTCTCCATTTTACAGAGAGAAGTTGGAGGGCACATGGCTACACTGTGAATCTCTTCAGCTGGAGGCTCTCTGGTTCACGTGTCCTATCACCTTGCACCTAAGTGAACACAATTCCTTCTGCCCTTCAAGTAGCAGCATTTGAACAAGTTATAAGGTAGCAAAGACACTGGTATTTTTTTTAAGCAAGCCATTATTTACCTGCAAGAGTTAGTTTCCCTTCATAGAGAAGGTGCCTGTTGGTTGGTGACAGGATGGTTTCTGCCATGTGTTCTTTAAAAATGTGTCTCAGATACTTGCAAAACAAGGGAGAAAGTAAGAGATGATGTTAGTGATTGAAAACAGCATTTGCAAGGAGCTGGGGCAGTCAACAGCAACTAGAAATTTCAAGATATTTAGAAACACTGTCCTAGAAAATAGACATAGGATTGGGAAAAAGAGGGCAAACCTCTCAAATGGACCATCGTAAAAACGGGATCAGAACCTCAGCCTCCCCACACACAGAGCCATATGCACGAGGCTTTTCCTCCTGCTCATAAAACTAGATTTATTCCTCAAGTGGACAGCTGGGGACTTCCTAAGATTATTATATTTCTACCTGATGCCCGCTTCCAGAAAAGGACATAAATCTCATTGATCTTTTTCATACCTCTGGAATGAAAAACCTTTTATCTCTGTCCCAGAGTGGAGGCCACACTATAATCTCCTGTAGATGTCTAAATTTTTGGAAATTGTCCAACCATTTCACTTTTCCTTCAAGATCCCCTGAAAAATAAGACATGTCCAACACGGTTTTAAATGCATGTAACACTGCGGTATAAATTTAAGCAACATCCACAATAATCATTTAAAGATACTGACGGTCCCTGGAGATGAACCATAATTATAGTTCATTTGACATATTGCTCTCTGTGTAATATCTGAGAAAACTCACTAATTTGAAATCAATTTCTTGTAGTTTTTTTTCTTGCAGAGAAAAAATACTAATGAAGTGTTCAGCTTTAATTTTTTATATTATATGCCTCACAGAGCCTTTTAGTAGAGAAAGGAAAAACATTGGTTTCTTTTCCTGATCATATAGCATGCACTATTTTCATGTAACAATAATTGTTTATTTTTGGTAAGAATTCAGACTGTCCTTGGAAGATTTTCGTTCACTTCCCGGTAGCAGGTTACTGCTGAGGTTTTGAAATGAATTTTGAAAACAGCCCTATGAAACCATATATCTAGTTGAACTTCTGAGAATTTGTCATCTTTAAGAAAGCAGACTTAAAGAAAGGCCACTTAGGTATCCTCCTTCCACAGTGAGAATCCATCTTTTATCTAGAAGTCTCAAGAGGACTTGCTTTTGTCTTCTTCACAAACATCTAAATGAGTTCTAAAACAATCCTGAGAATTATTTTAGAAATTTCAAAAAGTTGGTCTGTAATTGAATTTGGTTCTTATTCACTTGATAAAGTTAATTTTAATCTCTTTGGTCATTCTTAGGAATTTGAATAAAAAGTAGAAAAAGAGGAAATACTCCCACAGGACATTGTTATTTAACTTCTAAGTCTGCAAAGAAACACCAATACTTTCTGTACAGCTGAAAACTACCATTTTGAGCTGTGCCCCTTGATGGCCACCAGAAAGCTTACCTTGTGGACAGGTATCATGGACTTCTTCATTCGAATTTCAGTTATACAGAGCTACACAAGTAACTTAAGTCATCATAGGGTTTGCTCAGTTTTCTTTCTCACAATTCAGTTTTAAAGTTTGCAATTGGCATAACATTAGACCTGGATTTCAGTGAAAAATGATGAATGGTAATTGATCCTCTGGATAGGCTTTCCATGGTGTTTACTCCCATTTCCCTTGTGTGTGGGTTCAGAATAGAAGTCAACAAAAAAAGCAACGTCAATCATCTGGGAAGCAGGACCTTTCCTGTCTGAACTCACTTTTGAAACCCTTGAGACAGAGCCACGTCCTGTGTAAACTTGATATTAGAGTTACCATCATTTGCCAGGATGTTATTGGAACCCATTGTTTTATGTGTGTTTGGTTTATAATGAACTCGGATATAGATCCTATTTCCAGGTCATGACCTCAAGTCAATGGAATTACCTTCTACAGTGGAAGCCTAGAGGGGAACTACAGGGCTCCCCGACTTTCTAGCTAAGCTCACGTATCAGGGACTTACGAAGAGACTTCTCCACCTTCTCCTTGATGGAGTAGATCATGATTTTCTCAGTAGAGTCTGTACTCCTTTTCCAGATGTTCTTCAGCAGCAAGGGATACCGGGTAAGCCTGTGCAGTGGGGCCACCAGGAGCTCAGGCAGGTGAAGCCGTCGGCACTGCTCATTTTGCTCACACCACTGGGGAAAGAGGAAGCAGACAGGTCAGCACAGCACCTCTCTTATCTAGCACTAAGAAGGGGGACTTGAGAATTTCTTAGATTTTACTCAGTAACAACAGGATGCACCTGTGAGCTCGCTGGGATCACTCATCAGCTATGAAATAACCTTTGATTTTTGAAAATTCCATGTTAAACTTTTTTAGCAAATCTATCTACCAGTGCCAAATTCAGGGTCTGACACTGGGTTCTTAGACGTAACTAAGAAGTATGATTGAATTTTTTCAATTAATGGAATTGCAAAATCTTTTCTCAGATGTTTTGCCTTGTAACACGACAACTCAGCCCTCCTGAAGGGGGAAACACATCAAAATTTAGATGTGCAGGAGTAACTCATTCAACTGTGCTTCCCCAGTGTGTGTTCCCTGCATGGTAGTGAAAGATGTCTGACTGTGAGGTCCAGCCTGTTTACCCTGGCTCTAGAGGGAGGTTACTGTTCTCCCCAGCTTTGCTGCTGCCCTAGTTCTGATACATTTAGGAGCTGTGAGAATAAGTGCAGGGCATGTTGAAGGGAAAAGGCAAAAGTTTTGTGGGTGAGTTCGCTCATTGACACTGCTTTGCTGCAAAGAATCAGGGTAATGATCAAATGAAAAAAGAAAAGAGAACAGAAAATAGAAGTTGAAGGAGATGAGTCAGTGTAAGTGATATACAACAAATAGGAAAGAAGAGAGAAACAGTTTTTCAGTGTTCCCTTTATTTGAAGGATTTTAAATACAATGCACAAATTTTAAATGAGTTTTAAAATATATATATATATATGTCTATCATTTACAGCAGTAAAAATGTCACCCACATCAAGATACTGAACAAAAATCTTACATATGAGGGTCACGTAGTCTCTTAAATGTGAAATACCTTGTAATATTATTTCTGCTAAAAGAAATGTTGCTCTCCATTCCTGTGACCTAAAGAGTTTCTATGATCTTTAAACCTTTTTAATCTCTGTTTTCCACGACTGTGACTATTTCAGATCAGAGATTGATTTTTAAATTCAATCTGGAGCTTATTAATTGGGAATTTAACCAGCTTATGAGTTTAATTCACCTGTATTTCTGTCAGCACTTTTATGGAAATTTTAATGCTTCCTTGATGTTTTTCTTTTTCTACCTTTTCTTAGGTTTTCCACTTCTTTTCAGTTCAGGAAACTGGAATGTCTATATTTTATTTTTGTCCACAACTGCATGATGAACTGACTCATATGGTTTTCCCTATTTAGTATTTCAAACATACCCAGCCCTGTCCAATCAGTGCTTTGGAAAATTTCTCCTTACATTATCAACATTAATATTACAAACTTGCTACTCTTCTTTTTTGAGGGAAACAAAACTGTACCATTTTCCAGTTTTGTCAGATTAACAGAGTGTCTTTACTGTCTTTTTCCTGTCCACAGTGACAAAACAATTTTATCTATGTAACATACATTTGACTTAACAGCGTGTATCTTTTATCTTTTTTAACATGGCAAAAATAAAACAGTATTTATCTGTCCAATGCATTGACTATTTGGCATGCACTATCACATTTTAAAACTAAATAAACTAATATTTTTAGAACTATCTTATAAATCTATTTTGTATTTAGATTTATTATCCTATATGTAAAAATTTTAGATGTCATGCTTTTTAACTAGTTTTAATGATTAACATAAAATGTGTTATATAATTGTCTCCCTACTTTTAACTTTTTCTGCTGATTTAAGAAAATGACTTAGCAAAATTCTCAGAGAAGGTTCTTGGTTAATATATATTCTTAACTCCTTAGTATCTGAGAATGTCTTCCATACTAACTTGACAGAGTATATAATTCCTGGTTTAAAATTATTTTCCCTTAAAACTCTGTAGATGTTTTTCCATTGGCATTGAGAATTGCAAGAGCAAAACCTGAGCTCAGTCATCAGGACATGCCTAAGTGTTGCTTTCTTCTCATTAAAGCGTGAAGGTAGCATGTAAATCATTTTCATTTGCAAGCCTCCTTCATTCCCCAACTCTGGAAATTTTCTTCAATTCATTCCTTAATTATTGCTTCAGTTTTATTTGCTTTGTCCTCTGTTTAGGCTCAGTAGTACCTTGGCGAGTATGATCCAGGTCACGTTCACTACCTAAAGCAGAGTTTGTGAACTGAAGTAAAATTTTGCTGGATGCTTCTATTCGCAAACTGAATGGAAGTGTGCACGAACCGAGACATTACTGTGTTTATGTGTAGATTGTATCTCCTGGACAGGTCCTTTACGTCTGTCTCTCTTTTTCTTCTCTTTTCATGTTCCTTTGGCTTTTTGATCTGCATTCCATGAGAATTTCTCATTTATTATTTATTTCAATAATTTTCTTTGTGACTGACCCTGCTTAACATAGCAACAACTTTCTTAGAGGTGAGGGCTCTCCTTAGAGTTCAAAAGTAGTGTAGGGCATCCCACGGTGACACAGAGCAGGCAAGTCAAAGAAGGCTCGCTTTTATAGCAGTGCCACTCTTGTGACAGCCCATTAATCCGTTAACCTGTATGTGGATTCATTCCTTCACGTAGAGCATTCCTGAGCCAATCCCATCCTGAGCCAGTCCTGTCCCGAGCCAGTCCCATCATGAGCCAGTCCCATCATGAGCCAATCCCATCATGAGCCAATCCCATCATGAGCCAGTCCCATCCTGAGCCAGTCCTGTCCCGAGCCAGTCCATCATGAGGCAGTCCCATCCTGAGCCAGTGCCATCCTGAGCCAGTCCCATCCTGAACCAGTCCCATCATAAGCCAGTCCCATCCTGAGCCAGTCCCATCCTGAGCCAGTGCCATCCTGAGCCAGTCCCATCCTGAGCCAGTCCCATCATGAGCCAGTCCCATCCTGAGCCAGTCCCATCATGAGGCAGTCCCATCCTGAGCCAGTCCCATCCTGAACCAGTCCCATCTGGGCGCACCTCAAATATCTGACACTGAGGATTACATTTCAACATGAATTTTGGTTCAAACCTTGGTTTGTTTCCTGTGTTAGTTTCCACTGTAAACCCTTGACTGCCAAATGTTTTGTGAATGTATATATTCATTGTGAAGATCTGAGGTTACAGGAATGGGTTCAACATCCCTCCCCCTGATTTGCTGGCTCCGTTCTCTTCTTTGGGAAAACAGAGCTCAAAGAACTCTAGCGGTTTCCACCGCGTGAGGATACAAGAAAGTGGTAGTCAACAACCCAGTGAAGTGCCCGCACAGAACCCAACCTTGCTGGCAGTTCTTTCTCTCTCTCTTTTCCCTCTGCAAACCCAGTCTTTTTCCTCCTAGCCTTCTGCTTAACTATATACACTTGTCTTTCACAGCTGACTGCGTCCAGAGGTAAGTGGATAGGATATCTAACCCTACCACCCTAACAGCTTTACCAGAATGTTTCTTTTGAAAACATTCAGGGCTCTTGTTCACAGGGATTCTGCTAAGTACACTCTTCTCCACTCCCTACACACACAGAGTGGGTCACGCCAGTGAGCCCAGAGGCATGGTGCATGGAGCTCAGGAGCCTGGCTGCATGGGCCACCGTCTCTCCTCTGGATCCCAGACTCCTCTTCAGTGAAGTGGTGGCGGGCACTAGAGGACCTCCATGTTGTCTTGCATCTTCAGGGGAGTTGATGGAGACGGAAGCAGGAGCTACAGCTGGGGAGGCTGGATGGTGAAGGTGGGAAGAAGTGCGAGTGGGGAGGGGGAGGGCTTCACTGGCTGATTTCTAGGCCGCCTCGGATCCTCTGGGATGGCTGGGGAGCGTCTGGAACTGATTTCTCAATAGCAGTTAGGGATCCCCTCAAAACACACAGTCCCAGGCCCCTGTCCCAAATTCACAGTTGGAAGGAAGAGCTCTGACTTCTACCACTCATTGGTAGTCAGGGTGACATTAAAAATACCCAAATTCTTTAGATATCAATCATGCAACCATCCATCAGTGGTAAATAATTTGCATAAGGATTCAGGGGATAATATCAGAAGATTTTAGTGCCTTGGAAGCCTTAGAAAACTGGAAAAAATTGGCTGATAACTACAAAGGCAAAGCTGTACATTTTTCTTTCATCTTTCAATTGGCTTCATTTTTTCAGCTCCATTAGAGAAATCAAAGAACAACTTGAACAGAGAGACTAGACATAAAAGGCCTTTTCAGTGATGGGTCCAGATCAATGAAGGCTACATTTATTTTATAATAAATACCCAGTATGCTTAAGGGGAGTTAGGGGTACAAATAAATGTTCTGCTAATAAATCTGTCTTGCTGGAACACAACATTTGACTGAGAAGCCAGTATGCTGAGAATCTTGGGAAATTTACTTAACCTCTCCAAAGCTTATCTGCCAAATGTAGACAATAAGAATTACTACTCCACTGTATTGATGAGAAATTTTAATGAGATAACCCACACCAAGTTCATAGGACTGACTGGGGCATCTCAAACACCAAGTCGGAGTTTTAGCATTCTTAGCTACTATTTAGTTGAGCTGCACTGAGTCCTGGTACAAAATCCTCAGTCTCTCCTTCTGTATCCCTCTCATAGATTGTAAATTAGTGGGAAGAATCTTACTTCCAGCAAGATTCACCAGGGCGATTCCTCTACATTCATAACACCCAGCTTCCCACAATGTGGAAGCAAATTCATTCCAGTGTATTAAAAGTCTCATGTTTGGCAGCCCATAACTTGACACAGTCTAAGATCTCCACGAAAGGTATTTATAGCAAGGTATAGATGGAGACTCAATATCAGCTTCAGGGAGGCCTGAATTTGAACTTTTCCTATGCCTCAGAGCAACCATTTTATAGCAAGTTGCCTAATTTGTTGAAGAGCCTAGAAAATGGGGATCATATTGCTTCATAGTTTTTGTGGTGACAAAGAGATCACAGATGTCCAACCTGGAACACAGTGTCTGGCTCACTGGGAGGACTTAACATTCAGCTGCTTAGTGCTTGTGAGGATGCTTTTGTTCCCTGCGGTGGGGATGTGGAAATCAGATTCCTATTCGCCTCCTCCCAAGTCACCCCCTCACCCCTCTCTGTGGCTTCATGAGGCCAACAATTGCCTGGCAATGGGAGGCAGCTCTGAGGATTTGCAAGCAGTGTTGCTGTAAAGAGTACTGGGCTTAAAATATTTTTAAAATTAATTTTAACTGATGCATAAAACTATACATATTTATGGGGTACCATGTGATTTTTCAATACATATTTACACATGGTAGTTTTAAAAGGGCTAAACATATCTATCTTTGCCTAGAGACCTTTATTTGGTTCTATGTTTACCATTTATTGGTTACGTGGCCTGGAAAATGTCATATAACCTTTCTGAGCTTCAGGGACATATGGAAACAATATAGTCAACTTCATAGCTCTGCGCTAAGAATGCAGAGATGTTTGATGAAGTGTGTTATAAATCACTGGGCATTAAAAACATCGGGAGTATCATGCTGTCGTCCCAATAGCCTTGCATCCTTTATCAAGGCCTTGGAAACTATGCATGTTTCATATATGGATAAACCACCTTCTGTATCAGCCTATTTTAAGGAGGATTTTCCACAGTCGTTTGAAAATGATGGCTGGACCTTGTTAAATTAATCTCTAAGCTTGGAAGGGAGAGAAATGTACCTTATTCTCTCTGGTTTGGGGCTTAGCTGAGACTCTTACCTCTCAGCTTCCAAGGAGAACATTTGCCATGTGATTATTCTGTGTGTGTGGAAATCTCATGAGCTTTCTGGATTCAGTGTGAGTAGCAAAGAGGACTTTGGGAGGCTGACGCTGCAGAAGCAGGGTCTGGCTTTTTCCCTCCCATTCCTCTTTGCTTATCCCCACCACACCCACCAGGGCTTCCAGACACATCATGGCCCCAGCAAAGGCCTCTGGAGTCCCAGCTGAATCACAGGAACCAATGAGACTTTGCTTTCAAGTCTCTGAGGAGAAGCTCTGGCAGGGGTTTCTGGAAATGCAGGAAAGAGCCAGGTTTCTGGGAAGGCTTGGGCCATTTTCCCTGGGTCATTCAAAAGGACAGTACTGAAATGATACGGTTCACACTAAAGAACGGTCCAGAGGGAGAGGCAAGTCAAAGGAGCTGAAAAAATAAGGGAAAAATGGTAACTGCTTTGCTCATTTGCAAATACAAAGGACCCCAGCAGAAATTCCTTGCTCTAGTGCTTTTGGGACCCTGAGCCTCCTGTTGTATAATTCAGGGGCACCACCTACATTATGTTCCATTAGTTCCAGGGGGCACCATTCACACAGGATACAATAAAGATGGCACTCCTGGTTAATGCAATAGGATTTGGACCAACTCCTACAAGACCCAAATTTCTAGTCCCCAACAGAGATTACATTCTTACAGTGATTTTTCTCCTTACAATTTGCCAATCTCTATGATAAACATACCAATGCATAAATCAATCATACTCCTTTGGTCATCAAATAATCCTAACACCACACCTACAAATTTTTATGTCTACTTACCATGTGACACTGCCAAAACTTATAAAGCGATCATTACTGTATCTAAACTCCAGCCTCCCCCATAGTGCCCCCAATACCAATCCCCTCAGCCTAACTATTATAAATCCAGAGTCACAAGCCTGGGAACAGCAGATTACCCTAGCTGTCTGGAGCCACCATAGCTGTTGGGATGGTTTCATACATCTCACCAGGGCCACCAGAGATGCCCACTCCTCCCTCTCCCACATCATTCCTCCTCACTGAGCCTCACCACCCTGACAACTTCCACCCTGTAAACACTCAGGTCGAGTGTCAGCCACTCAGAACTCAACTGCTGGATGTGCCTCTCACTCTAGGAGTCCCCAGTGGTGGCTTTCCCAACTGATAACTTCTCAGTTCTCTGCAAATGTTCCTTCATGGACAACATCCCCCCCCCCCCGCCCCGATATCCCAGATGTTCAACTGCTAAGTCTCCCCTTTGATTTTAACCTCTCATGGGTAAAGGCCACTCCTGATCACACCACTGCAGGCCCTCCTTGCAATCATACTGTGACCCTACCCGTGAGTCCTGTTCAAATGACTATGCTCAAACCAACCTCCTCCCCTGTGGCCAATCCATTTACCACTGTTTTCCACAACACCAACCAAGTGCTTCTGTTCAGCTGGCACCTAACTTCAAAATCTTCACTGGCAATGAGTTCCAAGCCTCTTTTTTCTCTCATAGCAACCTCAGACCTGTCCGAGTGATACATGCTGCATTCATGCAACGTACAGCCCTTTTTGGAGCTGCTCTGGGAGGTGCAGGCCTAAGAACATCCCTAAGGATCCCCTACACCATGAATAATAAACTAAAGGGCGATTTTGCCCACATTGCTGAGGCTATCCAGGCATTAAATAGACAACCTCAACAGTTAGCTTGTGTCACCCTACAAAACTGTAGGGCCATAGACTATTTAATTGCTGAGAGGGGAGGTACCTGCCTATTCCTACAGGAAGATTGTTGTTATTATGTTAAGCAATTGGAACTCATCCAGGAAAAAAATCCACCAACTCTAAGAATGAGTTGATTCCGGGGGGCAAACAAATCACCCTCCAGTTAGCTTCTAGAACTCCCTGAGCCCATGGTTAATTCCCTTTCTAAGCCCCTGGATAATCATAGGGCTTGTTTTGCTGGTGGCCCCATGTCTAATGTCATTCGCACAAAAACTTGTTCAAAAACTAACTACCTGAAATTTTAATCTTATGTTTCTTACAGAAAGACTAACTTATCAACCTGCCCCTCAACATGAGACCCCACCGTCACCCTGTTCAGCAAGAAGCAGCCAGACGAAACCACCCCACCCTATTTTCACCCCCCTCTAATCCCATACTTATGTATATACAATAACAAATAGTTTGTGATGATAAGGCCTCTCCTCCCCTCCCTGAAAGAGGAAGAGGCCCAAAACTGAGAAAGTAAAAATTTCTTACCAGGAGAGATGTATGCTCCGTTGAGCACAAACAATAATCAAAAGTAACGAGGCAAAATGAAAACCCCCCCAAGTGGCAACCGGCCCACAGCCCAGCAATGAGACCCACCAACCAATCAAAAGAAGACACATCTGTCTGACCCCCTTCCCTCCACCGACTCCTCTTACAACCCATAAAAAATGCTTCTTCTGCTCCACCGGCACCTTGCTCCGGTCCACTGGGTAAAGTGCCACTTCTGCTTCCTTTAAAAACCCATTGTGTCCACCCCACAGTGTGTGTTCCTGGAGTGGGATTCGGCTGCTTTACCATAGAAGATGTGCACCAATCAAAATTCCCGACTGCAGTGGAAGGTGTGTATATGAGAAAATTCAATGTTATAGTTAAAAATGCATTATCAGTCATTACTTTTCTTCTTCCAATTTCATTTGGGCCTAAGAATTCTCAGTATCTGTTGCACCCAAAGAGTGTTAGGAAAACTACAAAAGAGAATAAACTGGTACTTTACTTTTAAGTAAATGCCAAAGTCCTCTCTCTGCCTCAGGGTCTCCAGATAAAACAGAGCAGCAGAGTAGTTCAGGCAGTACATCTGGTGGCTCTGGCAGAGGCTTCCACGGAAATACTGCAGAGAGACAAACGGACAGAAGTTAGGGGAAGCAGAGAGCCCTGACTGCCTTCCTCTTTCCCTTCATGTTCATCACTGAAAGAAAAATGGAGGAGCCACCGTGACCATGCAGGAGCTATGGTGGTGGCTGTAAACAGGTAATCTTGATTGTTCTGCCTGCTTACAAATATAGGACTGTTCCAAATTCAGTGAAGAGTTCTGTGTTTGGTGGCGTGCCTTTTCTTTAGTAGTCTTCCCCAATCTACATTCCTTTCTTCAGTATTCTTATTGAAGTTGTCATGATGACTACACATTTGGAAGTTGCCTCAAATTCCTTTTAAAATAAGACCACTTGTCATTTTTTCTGTATATATTAATACATTTAATGATCAAATGGCACATTGTACAACATGCTCCCAATTCAGTGAAATTTTTTGAGGGGGAAGGGTGGTTGTTCTGTCCTCCCCAACAGCACTTCTAGCTCAGTAGTGGCAGACACTTTCTTTAGGATCCCAGTGTCTACCATGTTACTAAGCCCTGTACCCACAAGTCTATCGACTTATTGGTTAATCGAATGTCATAGGTCCCATGAAGGAATTTCCAGTTGTATCATGATGAGATAGAATCAGAGGAGGAAGCACACTTACTGGAATATTAGAGTAACAGTGAGCAGAGGAAGCAGAGCCAGCCTAAAAGGCCACTAAAGGATAAGACAGTAAAGAAATCAGATGTAACACAAACCTAGAAAAATATGTTATTATAGGACCTCTGAGAACACTGAATTTTTGGCTTCCTGAAGAAGTAATTTGAAAGAAGATGATACGAGTTTATTTTGGAGGGTGTGAGTTGAAAGCTGGGCAGAGAGGAGAACTTAAAGGTGGAAAGAGCTTGCTCCCTCAGAGCCCTGCAGTGCCTGAGACACGCCATCCCTAGGGGCCCACTGCTGAGAGGCCAGAGCCGAGTAACTGATGGTCTGGTTTAGAAATCTATTTCCAGCACCCATGAGCTGTCGGACCTCTGCCACATCATGTGACCTCTCCAAGCCTCAGTTGCATTTGCTGGGACGTCCACACACAGCTCGTGTGTGACTGTGGGAGATCCCATTCTTTGAGCGGGTGGCACTGCGGTGGCCTGTTTGCTGTTCCTGTGTCTCCCCTTCCTGCAGAAAGTTACATGTCCCCCTCCTCTGCAGGTCAGCTTGGCCAGGTAACTTCTGTTAATCGCTGAAATGGGAATGAACACTGTGGAAGTTGAAGTGCTGGGCTTTGCTTCTCTGGGCCTCTGCTTTTATGGTCTGGGTGGTGGACTTCTCCTGTACAATACTCAACCCTGAATTTAAGTATTTTCTGAGATTTTAGCAATTTCCCAAACGTTACATTCTTTTTCTTGTTTTCCAAAGCTTTTAAAGTTTATACATGTTTGTAAAGTTCACTAAGGGACTTCTCAGCTTCCCACCCAATTCCATGCTAAGTTTTGCATGAAGCTTCTGCTTCTTCATAACGCACTTGGGGAACATTGTCCAGGGACACCTTTCCTGCCAGTGACTCCTCGCCTTCCGCTCAGCCTGGGAGCTCTTGTTTGTTGTGTGTTTATAGGATCTATGTTCTTTTTTTCCCTGCGGTATTCTTCTCAATTTCATTATTATGAATATTATATTCATATATGAATTAATATTATTAATAATGAGCCAATCATTAGTCTCATTATTGTATTAATCCCTTAATTTCAACTTAATTTCAATAAGTTGAAAATCCCTCAATGGCAGGGTCTTGTCTGATTTTGTCCATTGAAATGCTCAATAAATATCAATCTAGGCTTTTTAAAAATGTAGTATAAAAATTCAACTCTTGCTAAATGAGACTAGACAGAGATTGAATTGAAAAAGTTAAAAAAAAAAAAGGTAGAGGAGGACATCCAAATATCTACTCAAGAGAAAAGTAGCATTTATCAAACCAGGGCTTTAGATTTTCCACTTTTCATTTAATGAACAGAAATATTATCAAAGGCACAGGTGGATTTGAAAGTGTATTTTGCCCCTTTGTGAGAGACGACACCTTTCTTTAAAACAACTGAACCATGTAATTAGTGAATGCTGAGCGATTGCCATGAATATTGCTTTAAATTGAACTCATTTGAAAAACAGGCTTGGAAATGGCTTTTCCATGCATGCAGATTTCTGTGCTGACAGTCTACAGGAGATGTGACAGTGGGAAAACAGAATCTGCAAGTTAGCTTTCAAAATGTTGACTGGTGAAAAGGAAGGTTCCTGGGTGGGAGGGTGGAGGTAGAAATTTCCTGGGAGAAACCACAAAGACAGTAACAACAACAACAACAACTAGGAAATCAAGTAGCTATCAAGGAGCATCTTGGGGGAAGGTGGATTCAAAGCATGAAGCTGAGCTCCGCCAGAAGGGTTTTACCTTTGTGAGCACAGAAATAAAATCCATCAGTGGCGAGGACTCAGATGTGTCTACATAGCCCTTGATGATGCTGAAAAGACTGTTCACGAAGCCAAGGCTTGTCTAGGACCAGAGAGAAAGAGAGAAGGAGTGGGTACACACTCATGGCCAGGGAAGAAACATTTGATGGCCTCAAATGCCAGTCTTACAGACACTTCCCACTTCAAAGTATCTGCTAGCAAAATTCAAAGATTATTTCCCTCCACTCTCCAGTATGTATTTTGCATAATACTTTCATAAACAAATTATGTTACCTTTCTTCCTTCCTTTTGAGAACAAAGATAAGCTTATTTATAATATACGTAAAAAAAAGAACATTCATTTAAAAATAAGCATTTATGAAGACAGTTCTGGGGAATACATCTTCCTTAAATACCCATGGAAAATTAAAAATGAGGGTTAGCTAATATCTGTAATATCCTGGGAAGATATCAATAGGTGCTCAGGTGCTCTCCTTATAAACCTGAACTCCTGATCATAAGGTAACGTCAGACACAGCATGGAGCAAGTTATATCCTATACTCCAATATGGACACAGTCTCAGGTAACACCCAGCATCAGTTTTCATGATCCTCAAATTTTGAAACACGATTGCCAGGATCTTCCTATTTTAGCTCACCTGAGTTAGCTCCTCCAAGTTGGCAAAGAGTCTCCATAAATCTACATCCAGAAGATACTCGTGAATTTGCAGATATTTTAGTGTATTCATAAAAATCTTTAAAAAAATAAACACACATTATTTTTTGTTTTTAAGTTCTGAAGCACGCCCTGTGCAAAGACATTAGACATAAACTTCCTGGGTATAACTTTACAAAATAATGTAGCAGTCAGTACAAATCTGACATTTAAGTTTCACAGAACACACTGGAAATGTGCTCGTTAGCACAAAGGTGTTGTTATGTGAGTCCTAGCAGCATTCCTGCTGAAATTAATTTGTCCAAATGGGCATTCTGGGCTTCATGGGGCTGGGGAGACCCCAAAGATTCTCTCTTAGCCAAGAGCACCAGCTTGACAGCAAAAACATCCTCATGCTATGTTCTCATTTATTTCTCCCTCTGCAAAAACCCAAATGGCCTTGACTTTCAGGGAGTTAAAAGTAGAAATTAGTGAGTTAACATCTCATAACTGATAATAAGATTCCATTCAGATAAAGGTGTTAAATATCAGTGAAAACACTGAGGGAGTCTTGGTTATTATTCCTTGATCTGATGCTTTCACACATCAGGGGAACTACTACAAAGCAAGTCAAGAAAGAACTGCAATTTATACAAACAACCTGCTCCTCATTTCTATAAACTGAAGAGACAGTAATGAATTGAAAAGCAAATACTTTGTATATGTAGTGGCACCTCAGTTCACAAACGTAATTTGTTCCATGATTCCGGGGAAGATGACATAGTCATGTTTGTCATCCAGTGTATAGTTTCTCACATAGAGTTTTTTGCAAACAGTCATTCATGAACCAAAGTACTACTGTATAAGATAGAAGCATTTGAAGGGACTAAGGAACCAACTATTCCAAGGATTTTAGGTGGACTTTAGACCACCGACCTCCAACTCCCACTCCTACATTATTTAATTGGTGCCATGAATGGCGCTGAAACATGAATCAGTGTCTTCAGGGGGCCTTGTTTAAAGCAAGGCTTGCTGGGTCTGACTCCAGAGTTTGTGATTCCACAAGCTGGCTCAACCTGTGCAGCCACTGAGGTCCTGAGAGGGGGCAATGGGAGATAAACTACACACATATTAAAAGGAAAGCTGGGACCAGGCGGGACCTGACCTTTCTGATGGAGAGGCAGCAACAACCCAGCACGGTCTGATCTTGTACACAGCAAAAAGGTGGGAAGCATGTGAAGGGCCAAAAGCGCAAGGTCTCGGTGTTTTGCTGAGAACACTGAAAGCAAAACAGTCTCAGAGCTCTCTGTGGGAAGCAGAGAGGAGCACCAAGGTCAGGTGCCTGCTGGACTGGCTTTGCTTTAGTCCCAACGACTTGTTCACAGGGTTCACCTCTGGTGCTGCATCATCTCAGGGTTGCTCTAGCCCCACATATGTGATCACTCCCAGTCAGTCTGGGAGGGAGCCTTTCAGGTTGTGCATAGTGGCTCCAGGTTGGCTGGTCTGAAGCTATGTGTTGAGTATCACTGACTTAGAGCTTCCCAAATCTACACAGTCTTGGGCATCTGAGAATCTGTCATTCAAATCCAACCATTTGAAGTAGTTAATTGTAAAGAAAACCAGAACTCATTGTAACAGCTCACCTGGGACAATTTAAGAGAAATATTCTTTTCCCTGTGAAATTCATGGCTATGTAGAAATTCTTTGCTTATGTTTTTAAAAAAATTACTGAGTCTACATATATATTTATTTTACTATGTGACTTATGAGTTTTGGATTCACAAGCAACTTTGGGAGACTCCTATTGCTTGTGCCGTGGAAGGTGCATATGTTATTAAATACTCTAGGGGTGTGTGGGGAGTGGCTGAAGCTGGAGATCAAACACACATGTGGGGCTAAAGCAAGACCATCTCTGAGAACACAGAGAGCCCAAAGCCAGCCACATAAACAAGCTGTTGCAGTTCACAGAAGGCAAGGTGCCCAAGCCAGCTAGGCAAACAGGTTGCTAGGCAGAAGGGTTGAAATTGACGTCCTCCTTGAGTGTATAACTAAACATGCTGCAGTGGTGAGCTGTTCCTTTTCTCCCATCAGGAGAGAGGGCTCTACTCGAGCTCAGCTTTCATCTCTTTATTTTCCCATCCTCTCACCTTCTGACCTCCCACCCAGGGAACATCCAGAGCTGTGCAGGCACACAGCAGGAGTATGAGGGAATAAATTCAATTTGGGCTGTTCGGAAACAGAAAATGTTAGTTTGAAAAACCGAGGCAGCTCACAGTGGGCGGAGAGTTCAGTGACCATTTTGGGGGATGAGGGAGACAGTACAGCTCAGTGCTCCGGGGGGCTCATTCATTCGTGAACACCAGCTTCAGGACTCTTACATCCTAACCACAGCCTGGCTTCTCCCTCAGTATCTCCGCCTCCCTGGGTAGCATCTGTCTCATGGGTCAAGGGGATTTTGCCCCAGGGCTGTGCCTTGCTGGCCTTAAGCCAGTTGCTGTTCTTCCCTCAGCGAGCTGGAGTATGTGGTCCAGAGGAACTAAGCTACTTTGCTAAGTAAGATCTTCTTTTCTCTGTTGTGTCTCTGTCTTCCCTCTCCTTTCTCTCTATGAGGTTAAGAGCAGTAGCCACCTGGTTGCAAGATGAGGCTAATGCACAGAAGCCAGGGATGAAACACAGAAAGAAATTTTCTCCTTGAGTTTGAGCCCCTTGATGAAATCACATGAGTTCTCCCCACCACTGGACTTTCGGGTCACATGGGCCCCATGAAGTCCTGTATTATTTAAGTTAGTTTTCTGTTATAAGAAATCAGTTGGGATGTTCTTATAAGCATCCTAACTGATAGAGACTTTCAATTTTTTCATAGGCTGTCTCCATGCTCTAACTTTAGCTAAGCAAGGTACTTAGTACCTAGTGTCAGACAATAAATCCTACAGCAAGTAACACTTGCATGACATTCAATAGAGAGCAAAGAAAATTTATTTGATCATCACAATGATTAAAGAAGATAGCCAGAGATGGTATTATCATTCCCCTTCTTATGGTTTAGTACAGGGATTGTCAAGCTACAGCCTGTGGGCTGTGTATCTTCACAGCTACCTATTTTTATAACTTATGTTATATGGTGACAAAGTAATGCACGTCCCTTTATGGATTATCTATGGCTGTTTTGTACTACAATGGTAGAGTTGAGTAACTGCAACAAAGACATACAGTCTACAAAGCCTAAACTATTTACTATCCACATTGCAGTGGCTTGGCTGTGTCCTATCAAGATGCATGAGTTAGGAACTCAGTTCCCAAAGCAACAGGGTTAAAGGGTGGGTAGAGGGAGTGCCTCCTGGGAGACGATGAGGCCATGAGTGGGTTCATGATCTTAAAACGAGGCTTGTTATAACATGTCACTCTTTTGGGGACCTCTTTTGCATATGATGCCTTCCATAGCCTTACGATGCAACAGGAAGGTTCTCACCTGTGAGAAAAGCTTGTTGAAATTAGCTACTAATTTCACCTTCTCTTGAACTTCTCAGCCTTCGGAACCATGAAGCAAATCTCTTTTCTTTACAAAGTCTGGGGTATTGCCTTACTGCAATACAAAACAGACTAAAACATGGACCCTAGCAGGAAATGTTGGCCAACCCCTTGTCTGTTTAGGATATGGCAGACGACTTTGTAAAAGCCACAAACAAGTCAGTGGCAGATCTAGGGCTTGGAGCCAGGTCTTCCCGAACAATGAATTTTAGCTGTGAATATCTTGGATACAAAAGGACCTTGTGATCATAATGTTTTGAATGAAATAAATCAGACACATAAGCTTAATATCATATGGCTTCTTTAAAGAACCAAATAAAGGATAGATAATAGGAAATAAAGAGATAGATCTTTCTTAAATTGGAAGGGGACCAAGAAATGCAAGGAAGGAAGGGGAATGAAAAGAGACTTAAGATACTTTGTGTACATGAATCAACTCCCTCTGATGAGTATAATCACTACATATTGCAAACATATACTAATCAAAATACAAATTAAAATTAAAAAACAAAAGGGTTTTGGGCAATTTTAGGAACACATGGCAATGTTGTCCTGCATTCTAAGAAGGAAGCTGCTGCCTTCCTTCCCTTGCACTGTGGTTACTGTATAAGGAATTCTCTAAAGAATCAAGGGGCAGAGCCCTATGAATATGGAGGGCGTCACTAATCTACCCCTGTGCGATCAGAAGGTAATGCATTAAGTAAGCGTGGCAGCCCCAGAAACTTGAGGCCGCTGTTACTAAGCATTCACCTGGCTTTGTTGATGAGGGACCAAGAAGTCCAGCAGGGGAAGTGGCCAAGATGGAATGGGCTGCCATGAGGGTGGCCCTGATGTAGGAGCTTAGAAATACAGGCGAGAGGGAGACAGAAGAGGTTTGGACAGCAGACATGAAGCAGAGGAGCTCATCAGGACTGTAAGATCTCATTTAGTCCTGGGAGGCTATGTTTAAGAAAAAGAATGAAGAGACAAATAATAGCAAGAAACCACAAAATAGGTAATAAATGAAAATTTCTTCAAGATCCTCTTAAAGGAGAGAAAGATTCTTTTCTGACTTGGAAGAGAAAAAGAAGTCCTTAAAGAACTAAATTGCTATTTTTTTCATGCTGCATAAAAATGAAAACCAGCATTACCATTTTAAGAACTAATAAATGGTCCAAGAAATAAGTGCATTCACTCGTGAAAAGTTCCCACACAGCCTCTTGCTGCTTTCTCGAGTCTAATTGATCAGTGGGGACTTTCTGATGTGTTTCCATGACTTCATTCCAGGTCTTATCCTGCACACGAGGAGAAAAGAGAGCACAAAACATTTCCACTTCAGTGGCTTGACCTATCTACTGTTTGCTTTGGCTCACAGCCTGGCAGGAATCCCGGGCTCCCTGTTGGCGTCACCCCTCCCCACAGTTGCCCAAACCACCGCCCTTGTGGCTCAGGAATGCCAGCTCCTCCGGGTGCAAAGCATGAGAGTTTAAAATCAATAGAAACTCAAACCCATGTTACAGGGAATCATGCTTGACAATCATGTGGGTCTTTTTAATCTATCTTCGGGCTGAAGGAACTTTACATCTAGAACAGGAAAGTCTGATACCAGGGTCCTGTGTCAAAAGCTTGTTGAAATTAATTACTAATATATCACAATACCCTCAGACATTATTTTATCCAAAATGACTTCCTTTTTAGGTAAGGAAATCGAGGGCTGGTGAATATACTCATTTGTCCCGTAACCATGAGGACGTGGTCTGAGATACACACCACTGGCTGATTTCATAGTTGTGTGACCAACATGGTGGGAACTTACACAAACTATAATTACGATGTCACCTGGCCGTATCGTTTTAAGAGATCACCATCAGTGTGGATTGTTAGGGGTGTGAATGTCACTGTGTGCTCTTGACGGTATTAATATGTTTAGAGGGCTTTGTGACCTACAACACACACTCACAGTCATCACCTCATTTCACATATGGTGGCTTTTCCAGGGCCCCGTGTCCTGCCCAGCCCTGGCAGAGATCTTTCCCTGCACCTGGCTGTGATTATGAAGTAGACAGTAATAGGGCAATTTAAAATAAGGACCCATAGGGACAAATAAGCAAAACAAGAAGCACAGGAAAGCTCTCTTCCACCGTGAATAGATCACCTAGTAAACTATGTGGTACCTTCAGGCTGCAGAAGTCATAGTCCCGGAAGTCTGCAATCTTCACTGAAGACAGGCAGTTTTCCAGATCGGTTATGTACTTGTGTTTGTCTTTGCCCTGCTTAAAGATGGTTAAGAAATGGCATGAGTTCTTTAGAGACACAGTTGTAGCAGCATCTTCTGTGGATTCTCTGACGTGCATAAAAAAGAGACCAAACCACTAACAGACTCAACCACTATGCCACAAGCTGTTCCAAGACCATTCCACATTACAGTCCCACCCCCGGGACCAGAGCATGGCAGAAACAGAGGATCATGGGGGTGTTCTAGCCCAAACCTCTCATCTTACTAAAAGCAGATAGACAAGCAAGCCCAAGGCACAGACTGGACATAGAGCAAATAGATGGACTCCACCTCTAGTATCCACCCTGAGAAGCAGTTACCTCCTCAGCAGCTTTAACTTTTCCAAACTGTGGATCCCAGAACATTAACACAAGAAAATGACTCAATGACTAGTTCAACCTCTGAGCAGCTGACTAAGTAAAACCCACAGTGCTAATGAGACTTGCCCAACATAGCAATTCTCTGCTAAAAAGTGCCAGAATATTCCAGAAATTCTAGCTTTTTTATGGAACCATCCATTTATTTCCATTATAGTCTTTATTCTTAATAACATGGGTTTTAAAAATTGTATGACATGTTATACAGTTATTACAGGATATTGAGAAACAAACAAAAATAGCAAAAATGAAAGCCACTCCTAATCCTGAACCTCAGGCAACCCATTGCAAACATTTCTCTAATCATATTTGTAATTCATTTTTAAATGCTATCACATTGATATATCCTCCTGTGACTAGCTTTCTAAATGTAACGTATTGTGAGCAGTTTGGGGTGGATTCATTAGTGTTCTACTGCATGTCCTGAAAACACCCATTTGGAGTTCAAGTTAACAAAGATACCAGGAACAAGCTATCCTGTAACAATGGGTCAGGCTTCCTAAAGGTCACCTTGGCTGCATCTCAGTGGAACGTTTATCACAAATGACCTTTCAGCTTGCTCTGTTGCATGAGGGAGGGTGATGCTGGTGAGAATCCACAGGGTTTGGGGCAAGTTAACCAGTATTTTGTTAATGAGCAGAAGAAGGAGCAGACTGTGCGATCCTGGGGCAGGACCCCAGTGAGCCCCAGTGAGACCCTTTCTGGGCTTCCCAATGTGCCAGTCCCTGGTTGCTTGTGGCACAGACAGAGGCGACCTTTCATAGACTCTTAGCCTCCACAGTAGTAAAGGAATCTTGGAGCCGGCTGGAGACCTCCTACGGTAACTGGGACATATGCCTTTTGTGGATGTCTGAAACCATAGTGACTGCGTGTTGTGGCAATAAAAACCCAGAAGCCACTTTGAAAAGCCACAAGCCAGGACAAAGGAAGGGGAGTTGGAATGGTGGGAAGGTGGCTGCCAGTACCATCCTCTGGAGGGCGCTCCGGTGGCTTTCCCCAGATTGAACCTGCCTGCTGGTTTGCCAGGGGTCACATTAACTCCTCAGAGGACAGATGCATTAGGACCCTGTTGCTTCCACTGTGGTGCCATTGATCAGAAAAGGCAATGAGAGTATTTGAAGGGAACCTGCGAGTGTATGGGAGGGAATGAGGAAAAGTGAGGAGCCATGGCTGGTTCCATTAAGGAGGAGGCAAGTGCGATGGCACTGCAGGGGGAACTGGTGACTCGCACTGCAGTGAAGCTGCAGGCTCTGGCTATGTAGACGTAATTTGGATCAGGTGACAAAGCTATGCTACTGAATAGGTGACAGGAGATGAGATCTTCTGGGGTTCTGATGTCGGAAAGGAGGGAGGAATATCCGGTCTGGTTATGGGGACAGTGGAGTGGCACAAGGTCTGGGCTAGTGCAGACTGACTCGCAGCCAGACTGCCAGAGACTGCTGGGGACAAATCCCTGTCCACTGTTGCTCATAAGCCATGTGATTGCAGGTAAATGATTCTGCGTCTCTGAACCCATTTCCCTGTAGGTTAAATGGGGTTAATGTGACCTTGTTAGAGGGCAAGAATTTGTTCATCAGTGTGTAAGTCATCACATACAAAGGAGGACACATGTAAACACTGTAAACAGAGATGGTGCCCAGTACTGTGGCCATACACACGTGCGTACACACACACACACACACACACACACACACACACACACACTCATGCACAGAACCTTTGTTACTAATATTGCTCATTTGCAAGAAAGGAAAGGCAAGGAAGACACAAAAAGGAAAAATCTATAGTAGATTGGGAAAATACAACTTAGAAGTGAATTAAAAATATGAATTACTTTATAAGTAATTACTTTATAAGTAAGGCTAAGAAGGTAAGGAAAGTAAATGTATCCCTTTTAAAGGAACCAGATACCACATCCCTAAGAAAATGGGGCTTAAAGAAATGGATTTTCCTTCCTTTTGCTCTGAACATTTGCTGAAAATGTTTTGTCATTTACTAGAGTCAACCCTCTGTATCCAGATTTCAACTCATGGATTCAACCTACAACAGATCAAATATAGTCAAAAATAATTATGTCTCTGCTGAACATCAACAAATTTTTTTCCTTGTCATTTTTCCCTAAACAGTACAGTAGGAAAACCATTTACGCAGGTGCTGACATGGTGCTCTGTATTATGACTAGCACGATGATAAGGAGGATGCATCTACTCTGCGCACATCATTTTCTATAAGGCTCTGGAATGTTCTTCCCTTGTGTGTTTCCACCACAAAAGAGCAAGTTGGTTGTTTGTGGGGAAAAAATAGACTGCTACTGACAACTTGTAAGCTGTTCCTCCCCTGGCTACTCCCGTTGGCTACTCCTCCCTTGGCTAAGTCCTTCGCCTTGCCTGCTAAATCCTTCCCTTTGCAGCTCTACAGCTCCCCACCCCTGGAGGAGCTTACGGGAGAGAGTCGGGGAAGAAAGACCGCCACCAGGGTTCTCAGGCAAGACTAGTGCAGGATCAAACCTTCTGAGGAGGAAGGTGCCCAGGAGGGGCTGCCCCATCTGAGGCCCCCCAGTGCAAAATCATGGTAGGTCTCTGAATGCCTGATGGGCAACAGACCTTGTGGCGATGTTACCATGTTACTAACAACTAATGATTCAGAGTTCATATTGTTTAGATTGTGTTCCACACCAACTTTTTACTTTTGAAAAAATATGTGAAAGTCAGTCCTATGCGTAGCTATGAGAATCAGTAGTTTTATCAAACCCCAATTTAAAAAACACTAGCAGTATTACTGCTAATATAATTGAATGTTTCCCAGGGCCAAGGTCTGGGGGAAGCTTCATATGTACTACGATGTAGTCATCACAACTTCCTGTGAGGCTGCCATGATGATTTCTCACCCTCGACAGGAAAAATTCTGGACTTGATGGAGTGGATTCATCTGGCCAAGGTCATGAAGCAGAAGCCAAGCAGCTAGGGTTGGAACCTTGCAGGACTTTTAATTTAGCTACTCAAATTTTTGAGATATCTCTGTCCATAGAGCCATTACAATTGTCAGTGAACTGATTGAAGAGGCCATGGGGGCCAGATTTTGAGACCCAGGGACAATAGCTTCCCACAGGGCTCTGCTGCCCCTGCTGGCCACAGTGTGGAGGAATCATAATTGTCCTGCTGGGAGAACAGGAATCAGTTCTTCTAGGAAATGGGAGTGCAGAGCCGACTGTGACTGTGAACATTCCCTCCTCTGCATTTAGCAAGCCCACAGAAAAGGCTCGGTTCAGGATAGACCACCCTAGTCCTAGATAGCAAAGACTCGAGGACCCCTGCTTTAGATTCAATACTCTTCAATAATTGATGGAACCGAGAATGAATTTTAAAAACCTACCAGAACTAATCCAACTGACTTTCCCAGAAGTGGATGCGTATTTGTAGAATCTCTTTCTGTAACATCTCATTAATTTTTCAACATCCCTAATATACATGGCATTGCCTGCAATTTGGAACGCACACTTGTTCAAGTTTTCCTCCATGTGTGAGCTGCTCAGTGAGCTTCAGTAAGTTATAAACGCATAACTTTGTTAGAATTGCTTTGTTTGTTTTGCAGAACTCACTAGCCACTGGCAATTAGCTGTTTTGCTACATCAAATGGCACCATTTGGCACGTTCCGTAGTCAATACTATGTGATGATGTCGCTTATACTTCACGTGGTATCTGAAAAGATGAAGCTGAATGAAGAGGCTCTTCAGCTACGTCTTACTTTCTTAGCCATAGAAGTCCTAATTACGAGAAAAATTGCAATGTGTAACACTTACCACTCCTTTCTTGGAGAAAGGCCATCTTGGTTTTTTGGATTCTGGTGGGTGAAACAAAATATAATGCTACTTAGTGCTATGGTTTAGGTCTAGGTGTCCCCCCAAAGCCTCATGTGGTCATGGCGAGTGGGCCTTTTGAAGGCAGCTGAGTCCAGCATTTGTGATTGACTCATTGTTTGAGTTGGGATTGGTGGTGTGACCTGCCCACAGGCAGGTAGCTGGTGTACAATACAAGGAAGGAAGGAGGCGTGCTTTACCCTTTTGCACACTTTGCTCTGGTCGCTTCTCATACCTGCTACAGCCACCATGAGCATGAACATTTGCCTCTGAGCCATGTCACTGTGCTTGGAGCCTACTGAATATGGATTGAAATCTCCAAAAACTGAGAGCTACATAAACTTTCCCTTCCTTCATTTTGGGTGTCAGGTATTTTGTCTTAGCCATGAAAGAAAAGTAATCAAGACCCTAAGAGTAACTGGTGATAGATCATTGCAGTGATTTATGAAGTCTCCTTTTCTGCAAATAAGCCAAGCAATAACCGCCCCTCCCCCACTTTAATGCACAGAATGAGTATATTTTTGCAGATGAGTGAATGGCACCAGGTGGTAACCTGAAGGCTGTGTATCTTCTGCTGCCTGAAGGTGATCCTGTTCTGTTTCTCTATGGGGGTAGTAGTAGCCTTCTTTTCCTCACTTCCTGGAGAAAAATCTATAAATAACAATGATGTTGAGTAATCTGCTTAAGACAGAGTCAAATCACTTTGGGATGAAAGGACTGGTTCCTTATTTTTGCTTTGTTCTACCGTAAACTATCCCTCACATGCAATGTCAGCAGAGTGACCACACTTAGACTTGGAGCTTGTATCAACCCAGTCCAGATTTGGTTCACAGACTCCTGAAATAAGGGGCCACAACATGTGTTCACTGCTACTGTACTGCTTAGACCTCAGGAGCTGCTTTGAGTTGAGAAGGAAGTCATTACTCAGTCATACCTAGTAATAAAGAGATTAAATTCTTTTTTAAATTATGTATTTTTTATGTTACAAAAAAAAAAAAAAAAAAAAAAAGCTCTTAGGTTATATGGGAAACTCTGGCCACTCACTGTATAAATCGATGTCCTGGAAGTCTCTGTCTGTCACATTTCCTGAGACTGTCTGTAATGCTTCAATCAGACAGAAGTAATTACTTGGGCAGCACTGAATGCAAAGAATGTGTTTAAGGACTTTTTCTACTGCAGTCTGGGACCCATCCTAATCAGCCTAAGTGGTTATCCTGTTGTTTGCTTTGACCACATTATTGAGTTTTATAAAGGGGAACTCTCCCTGCGGGACCAATCACATTCGCCACCCTTAGCCATCAAATGATCAGTAGTAAATTATCACATCTAATCAAACTTGTCTTGTCCTTGGCAAGTTTCTTCCTCCTGTTTTTCTTACTTTGAGGACAATTTTGGAGCCTGGAGAATGCTCTACAAGTATTCTGAAGAAGATTTAAATGAGTCTTTATAAAATCGACAGCCATTCATTATCTGTTTTAAATATGTTTGCTAAATCAAAATCTCTATTTCAACAATATCTGCAGGAGTCTCATACACACAGAAAAGAGCAGACACATCACTGCATTGGGACCATCAGACCTCTGTTCTAAATGCCTTGAGAAGAAGGCACAGAGGGCTCAGTGGTGTCTACCATGATGCTACGTGCCCAGCTCAAAAGCCAGCTGGTATAATGTAGAAATGTCACCCTGCAGTATGACCTTATTCTCAGAACAGCACTTATTAAACTTCAGCTGGCATCAATCACCTCAAAGGGCTTGTTATAAAATTGGCTAGAAGACACCCCCCTACACCTACACTAGGTTTACCCTGAGCTTGTAACTAGCTCTGATTTCTGTGAGGGATGGATTCAGGCTGGGGAGATGGACGGCGTGCTATTAGTCAAGAATTAAGATTGCACACCTCTGAGACAAGTGGCTGACACTAGATCGTTTTTTCCTTGGCCTCACTTGGCACACAGGTGGATAGGAAATGGGCTTGATGGTTTTTTCAGGTGTCCGAAGTTTTTAAAGGTGCCCTAAACATGGGTCTTACCGAATTTCTGAATAAGGATTCTTTTATAAAATGGACCCCACCAAGAACAATCGGTTTAAAAACCAACAATATGGATAATATTTGTGTTTTCGTTTGGGTCTCAAAATCTTCAATTCAGCTACCCTCAGCATGAAAGCTCGTGAACACCAACACTGCCCTTTTTCAGTGGAGAGCCCAGCCTGGGGTTACTTCTCCGACAGACACTCATGTCCCCCCTCAGCCTCCTCCACATGTTGCCGTCTTGGCTGAAGGCATCAGTGTGAGACTGCAGACCAGGAGTGTGTGAAAGATGAGACACACAATGATTATAGAAAAGCTGCCCACCAGCCAGCAAAGGCACTCTGATCAAAACAGTGACCATCATGGAGCACCTATGCAAGGTCCTGGGCCTGGGATAAATACTTTTACAAGGGATCATTCAGGCGATACCCATTCCTTATCCATCTCTGTAAACGGAAAGCCACTGAGGTTGGTAAGTAGTCAGCTGGCTCAGATGATTCATGCCTTGTGCCTGTTCCAATTGCTAAGGCATTGGTCCTAACACATCAGTGTGGCGGTCGCTTAGTCATTAAATATCTGGAGAATTGCTCTTGCTTATGACTAGTGATGACCATAGCAGACATATAATGAACATAGGCCAAATGAACGGACCTGAATTCAGCAGCAGAAGTGGATGACACAGGTAATCAGCAGCTCCATCGGACACCAGGAGGTCCCCGGGGAACACCTCTAGTCCAGGTAAGTTCAACACCACGGAACTCCGCCTGTGCTCATAGAATCTGTGCTCATGAGGAAAGGAGAGAGGTCAGAGTAGGGGTTTAGCAGGTCCTCCTCCTTCCCTGGGTCCCACGGACGTGGCTGCTAACTGCCTGCACCTCTTGTCTGTACCAGTACAATCACCTCTTAATTTAATTCTTCACCTTCAGCTCTATCTGCTCAATCTCATCTTGTACAAGGAAGAGCACTAAGTTATTCAAAATTTAAGTCTGACCTTGCTTTCCTGGTGCTTAAGACACTTCAGTGGCTCTTCATCCTCAGCAAGATCAATATACTCATGCCTGCTGTGGTCTAGCCTTATTGGTCTTCCTGATAGTTTTTACTTTGCAGTTTATTCTCCAGAAGTCGGGATTGGATTGCAGTTCTCTGCACAAAGCAGTGCTTTGCATGTAGTTTCCCTAACTGGCGATACTTTGCCCCTTCCTAGCCCTGCCAGCCTACTCTCCTACTTGTCCATGAGACCCAGGCCCCTGGGCATCTATCTTAAGTAGCTTCAAAAGAAATACAAGGAGAAAAGTAAAACTGGGTTCAGTTGCATTCAGTTCTCTGTCCTGTGTGCTTTTATCATGTTTTACCTTTCCTTTCTCTGGTTCTTTCAATCTGTTGTTAACTGACGAACATGAATGAATGAAATAGTTCTCTGATATTATCCTCCTTTCCGGAAAGTGATTGATTTTATAAGCCTTATTTCCTCTAGGATCCTAAACTCCTAGCTTCTGATCTAAATCTCCATTTAGTGGGCACTCAGCAAACATTTGTGAAGTAAATGGAACCCTAACCAAACCTACACAAGCTTTGAGTGATCACCACCATTCCCTGACAAGCTCTCCTGCAGAATGTGTGCTCCAGCAGTAGTGAGCTGCATGCTGTTCTGTAACCGCTCTGCACGTCACACTTCCGTGCCCTGGTTCAGGTAGATCCCATCTGCCTCCTCTGCTCTGCTTAGTCTGCTGGGCACATTGATTTATCACTAAAGTCCAGCCTAGATGTTCTTTTCTGATCCATTAATGAAAGGTTAACCCTTTTTCCTCTCCTCATCTCCCTTACCTCTTCTCTTATAATGACTTCATTCAAGGTACCTCTTGGGTCTTGTATATTACAGGATCTAATCACTTAGCACAGAATCTAACATAGTGCAGGTATTCATAAATTTGTTGAATGAATAGACATGTTGATCTATAGAATAAAATACTGATGGTCCCCAAGTGAATTGATTCTACATTTTGGATCACAAATGAATAGTTATATGCATACAAAAAAACAGAATACAACTTGGTCCACCCGCCTTTCCTCTCTTGCACTATAGGTGGTTAAATTATCAGACCCATTGCTGCCTTGTCTGGGATGGCTTCCAACATAAGGTATCCATTTGGGATGACACGGTCGGGACTGGAGTTGCCTTTGCACGTATGGAGAGGAGAGAAGACACCCCGATTGCACGAAGGCTGAGCCATGACCTTGACTTTTGTCCTTGATGGTCAAAATCTAGTGATGGTCATTATGGGGAGGTAGGAATGCCCCCAGGAGGGCATAAAAGGATCTCTGTGGGCATGAAATGTTTTTATTCATCAAAAAGCAGCACGGGTTAATAAAGTTATGAAGAATCACAGTTGTAACCCTATAGACACCCACGAAAGCAATGAGAAACAGTATCTATACCCAGTAACATGAAGAGAAAGGGACTGGAACAGAAAATATAGCCTTACAGCATCATGCCTGCAGCAATTGGATTTCTGGGCACTCTGAAAAGCACCCGGGTCTGCCTCGTGGAGTTGATCAAACACTGGACTAGCAATACTAACCCAAATAGTTGTAATGAGCTCTCTGTGCCTTTGACTTTAGGTGTCCTAGGTGTGTGTGTGTGTGTGTGTGTGTGTGTGTGTGTGTGTGTGTTGATTCCATGTTGGTGTTTTGTGTATGCTGTTCTAAATATTAGGGTTGCTTCTTCTAAAATGTGGCATGTGTGCTGGATCACATGTTCAGTTCTGGGTTGATCATGCACTGAAAGTGACCACAATGAATTCATGATGGACAACGATAAGGTGGTGTCTGCATGGAGTGAAAAAGGGCAGGAAATAGCATGTTCACATATCTGATGCCCTTATAAGGAAATAAGCACATAATAAGTGCAAAACATTTGGAGTGTTGCTGGCAGCCAGTGTTGCTGTGTCAGTAGAGTGACCATAGAACTATACGGTCCTTCATTTGTTTGGAAAAACAAATATTTTTCAGAAATGCATTCACTTTTTTTTTCTTTGCTTGATCCTTGGTTATTAACATTTTGCATTAGGACAAATTTCTGGACCCAGGAGGTACCCACACTTTGCAGCCCGCCGGAGCCCACTCCCTTGCCCTGGCCTACCCCCAGCCCCTCTCAGAAACCACAATACAAGCCACACATACACTAACCCTGAGGTGCGAGGCCCCAAGCCGGTCAAATCCGAAGGGACTGGTCCCATGGTTGCTAGGATAACTCTGTCTCCCTTCTGGTACCAGAATGGCTCTGTATTCCATCCTGTGCTGCAGACTGGCAGAACCATTGTGTGGGCTGGGTCAGCAACAATTCAGAGAATCTGGGGAATTCCCCTCCCTCCCCAGGGGGCCCTGCACCCATGACTCAACACTTAGCAATGAGGCTGCTCCTATGTGTTGGTGTTGGAGGAGGAGTCACGGGCTGTTGGAAATGTGTCCCCCAGTGGACACCAAATGCACAGGTTTCGTAAACTATAGATTGGCCTTGGTGAATCTTAATCTAATTTAAAATTAGCTGACCTTCTTCACTGGGCTCTGAGTTTTCTGCCATATGCTGTTAAGCATCTTTCATACATTATCACCACTGTAGAAAGTGGAAATTCCTACTCTGTTTAGATCAAAGGACGCTGAGGCTTCAAAAGATGAGTGAGGAGGTCTTCTAAGGGCCTGTTGGTTTAGTGAGTGTCAGAAAGACAATTCAGAATTCAATAGGCGGGTCTGACTCTAGAAAGATTTGTGAACAGGAGAAAGCAAAAGGTACTTACTGGCCATCACTGCAAGGTACAATGTTGGTTCTAAATCACTGTTTCTTCTCCAAATTGGAGTCTACTTTATTAAAAGGGAGGTATGATGAGTTGAAAGGCTGCCCCCCAAAAGGTAATGCTCACATCTAATCCCTGGAGTTTTATTTGTAAAACTGTCCTTAGGGGATGTAATGAGATTAAGGACCAGGAGGAGAAGAGGTTCAGGGATGGAGGTCTTGAGAAGAGATAGCTGGAGCAGAGACTTAGAGAAGACAGAAGGCCACGTGAAGACAGAGAGACAGACTGAGGTGACACAGCCACAAACCATGTGATGCCTGGATGAAGAAGCTAGGAAGGCCCTCCCTAGACCCCTCAGAGATGTGGCTCAGCAATTAATTATGGTAGCCACAGGGAGCTAATCCTGAGGTCATTCTACGGAGTGGCAAAGGGACTAGATTCCCACCTGTGACCTTCATCACCAGGGGCCTTGGCATTTTGCCTCCTTGGATTCCTGTTTCCCTAGGTGGCAAATGAGTGTGATGGGTGAGACCTTTTCCATCCCTGCGAATGCAGGATCCTGATGGAGGACCACTCTCGTTTCCTCCTTCAGTGGCCAGGGGGTGGTATGGGGGTTATGTGGTGATAGCTTACTTGGCACAAATACTTGACGATGAATAACTCCCCCTTTATTTATTTATTTAGGTCTTTTTGAGACAAGGTCTCACTATGCAGATCAAGGCCACTACAAGGCCTCGAGCTCACTTTGTAACTCAGACTGGTCTCCAACTTGTAAGGATCCTCTTGGCTCAGAAGTGGGCCACCACACCCGGCTTGAGTTTCCCCTTTAGAAATATGACTCATAGACCATTTGCATCTTGAAAGACTTTTTGGCTATAGCTGATTTAAACTGTGAACCACTGACCTTAAATTACCAGGTATATTTTTTAAGGGACAACAGTGAAAACTATTAGTGAATATAGGAGGTCAGTAGCAACTTCCCTGAGGTGACACGTGGTCTTAATGGAATAAAAATGACATCAAGTCCACCATAATCTGGAAATTTGTCTTCCTTCAGCTGTAGATGTTGCCCAATATTTTTTCCCCAACTTATTCCTCGGAAACTGTAATTCTCGACTGAGAGTGAAAGCTCATAGAATGTGGCCTTTTCTAGCAGACACTTGTCAGCAACTGGGTGACCAGGAAAAGTAGGCATTCTATTTTAAGACTCAGGTTGTAACTTATGCAAGCAATATAGTGCACTTTTAAATGTTTGCTTTTAATGATGAGTTGATTACTTAGGGGGAACGAATTAAGAATCAATAACAAGCTTTTAAAAATGTTCTTGTTAGTAACAGAGAAATGACAACTTTAATATCAATCATGAAACTATAGCTTTTTTGGTTAACTTTGGAATATATCTTTGTCTCGGGAGTCTCAGAAGATTGAGAGCAACATACTTCTGTGTGATTGGCTATCATTTCTAGTCCAGCTTCTGACCATAATGTTCCATTTGATGGAAACCTAGCAGAAAAGGTGAGGAGCTCCTTCCCTGTTACAGCCTGGAACCTCACACCTGGTGGCTACTGGATATGCAAACCGGTGGGACCTGCGTGCCTCCTGCACCCGTTGGAATTCAGCGGGTCTCACCCATGTGTGCAAATACCTTGTGCTGCGACTTATTGGACTTTGAAGATACTTGTGTCCAAAGCACAGAGCTCCACCCTCTTTCTAGGTTACTATGTCTTTTGGACAGGAGTCAAAATATTACTTAACGGGGTTCCACAACAGTGAATCTCCACAGATCCCAGGTATATTCAAGAGATAAGCATCAGACAGTAAGAAAGATAAAAGCTGGAAGGTGACACATAAGTATCTCGAGGAGAAAATATTTTTTACAAAAGGGGCAGGAGTTGTGCAAATCAGAGTTTTTCCTACAAGACGTGTCTCAACTTAGCCAACCAAACTATTTTTCTTTGTTTTGTGTGTGTGATACTGGGGATTGAATCCAGACTTTTTGCACTAAGATCCATCCACTGTCTTTTTTAATTTTGAGATAGTATTTCACTAAGTTGCCCAGGCTGGGCTCAGACTTCTGTCCTCCTGAGTGCTAGTATAACCAGAGTATAACCAGAGTGCGTGCACCACCATGTCTGGTTCATTTTTGTTGTTTGTTCTTTAGACATTCATTGATCACCTAATATGTGCCAGACACTGTGCTAGACAGTGGAAATTCCTTAATGAACATGCACACACTGATGAAAACTTCAGCTTCCCTCCAACTTTTACTCTATTCCTCCAGCTGTGCCCGCTCCAGCTGGGTTCTCAGAGGCTGTAGCTTTCTCTTTGGAGTAATTAGGGCTATGTCTATCAGTTTCGACTTAATACTTTCCCAGTAAGTTTTTAAAAACTTTGTAGAGAATCTTCTCCCTTTCTAGTATTTTCTGGAGTTTTTATCCAGTGCTTAGTACATCACAGGTTTTAAGTAAAAACCCATGGAAGGCAGAAAATTGTATTCAGCTTAATGTTGGGACATAATCAGATGAGTTTCCTGGAATCAAGCATTTAACTCTGAGTATCTTAGAAATCACTGACTGCATAGGGGAAGTGCTGAATCAGTGAATGGATGTTTGAATAGTATCTCTAAAAAAAAAATAATAGATACTATTTGCACTTCACGGCTTAAACAGTACAGAAGATTAATGAGATGAATGCTATTTGTATCTTCACTTCTTGGATGAAAACACACATTTCTAGCCATTCAGGGAATTGCCTGAGACCATAATTGCCAGGAAGTGGACACTGAATTCAAACCCAGCTGTTTGGCTCCAGCAGGTTTTATGTCCATGCTGTGCTGCCCACAAATGGTCACCTGGGTGGATCTGACTTCCTGGGAGGTTTCATTGATATTTTTATTTGGTTTCTTTCTTAAAAGAGACTCTTAGATACATTGTCATTTGGTTTTCACCCTAATGCTGCCTCACTTGCTAATTTGGATATAGTTAATGTTCTTCCTATTTCCTTTTGAGAACTAAAGGTTAGTATGTATATTTCCCTTCTTAGCTTCCCAGTTGAACTGCCAGGGAAGGAAGCAGCTTTCTGGGAAAGTAGTTTTAGTATGCGCTGGGAAGACCTTACTACCCATAAAATCTCTCTCACTTACTTTCTGATGCTTAAAATCCAGCAACACAGCTTTTCTGCTTGGCCACTAGCCTTCTCCTTGTGCAAAATGCAAATGCACCGGGCACGGTTAGAGGACATTGTAGTCTAAGCATTCTGCCAGGTCTGTATCTTTCTTTGTCCATCCATCTTTTGCATCAATAAATATTTTTTGAAGTAGAGTCTAGATAGGTTTCTAGAGCTGGAGTTTCAAAGGTAAATAAGTAACCTCTGTCCTTGGGAAGGTTTTGATTCTAGGAGCAGATGAATGAATGAAAAAGAACACAATGTACTATTTTACATATGGTGGGGCCTCACAAGGTGCAGGGAAACCCAAAAGATAGAACAGTAGGGCTCTACTTCAAAAGAACAGAGTACACATTGCTGAGGTCGAAAGTCCTTCACACTTTACTAATAATGCATTGTAAAGATTGTTCTTCCCCAAGGGCATATTTTAGCGTAGAGGAGAGGAACATTTGGAGTACAGTTCGTGCACATACTATAGAGGGAGAGGGAATGACAGCAGGACAAAGGGTTCTTCCCCCACCTCTCACCAGGTTAAAGAATAGACGCGTTGCTCACCTTAGCTGTGTGATCATTCTTTTCAATGTCCTTCCCTTCACCTCACAACCAGACCCAGGTGACTGTCCCTCCTGAATGCACATTATGCTGATATGTCGCTTTTTAACTCCACCACCTTCATCACAGCCTAACCTGCCAACCCTACTGCCATCTGAAGCCCATGGCATTCATCGGACCCTATTCATCCACTCAGTGCCTTCATGATGCGTGCTACTAGAGAAAGGAAAAGAAATCCTAAAAATCCTATTCAACCTGCATGATCTGACTCTAATCAATAACATCATCTCTCAGCTACTCTGTTGCTCTTTGTCTAACACATCTTCTTACACACCTATTTTAGAGTTTCATTCCACCCCACACCTATGGAAGTTTGGTTCCAGTAGTTCCACACTCTACCAAGCTTGTGTCCCCATCGTTTGCCACATAAAAATGCTCCCAAACTGTTGTTGACACATAATTCCCTGACCCTGAGTTCTACTATGTGGCTTGCTTTTATTTATAAAACTCAGGACCAGACACAGAACCCAGGCTCCAGGTGATCACTCATGTGTTCACCTGTGCTTTTGAATCTTGGTTCTTCTGAGGCACTGGGCAGCCTTTTGGCCCCAGGAAAACCATAAAGGAGACGGTGAGAACTACCCAGCTGAGCCCTAGCTTGAGTTAGTGTGAGGGAACACACAGTCTTATAAAAAGCAATAGCTGGTTGCTACTTCAAGAGCTTGGGAATGTTTGTTATACAGCAATATCTAACTGATACAAAATAATTTGCATTTTCTGATGGCTCTGCAATATTCTCTACCTTTGTTCATACATTTAAGTGAAGCAGAGTTAAAATCAACAAGACTGCATGAGCAGATATCACCATATTATTGCAAAGAGCAAACTGTGGCTTGAGGATCGAGTTCCACTAATAAAGAGTGACCATTTTCCTAGGATTCTTCTGTGAATATTCAAATGAAATTAGGGCTTTCTCAACAATCCTACAAATCAGATGGATGCAACTGGACAAGGATTTTTCCGTTTATGCCATAGAAACACTTCCTTCCTAGGAGACAAGGCAAATCTGCTGTCTCAGCTAGAGGGCTGTGCAGAAAGAGCTGGTTTCCAACATGGCACAATCCACTAATTGCTAGATAAGGGCACAGGCTACCATGAAAGACATTTTAAAGGTCAGGCGTAATTCCAATAGGACATCTTGTTCCTTTTATCATTGCCCTTTGAATTTCTGTTTGAAAAGCTATTGAAGTGTTCTAGCCTACCCATTATCTTTATCAGACAAAACTTATTACTAAATGGATGTTAATCAGGCCACAGGACCAAAGCATTGACAATTCAGAATGAAAACCATAAAAGCAGTTGACTGTTGTTGCCTGTCCCCAAAGGCCTGGCAAAGTGCTGTGCTCTGAAAGGAGACACCTGAAATGACTCTCACACCCATGAGAGGGAAGAGTGACTTGGGTGCTGTTGAACAAATAGTACCGATTAATACTCCATCAGATGTGCTTTATCAGAACACAAATAAAGGTGTAAATGGTCAATGTATGTCATCAAATCGGAGATTATCTGTGCATACAAACATACCTGGAGCCATGTGATTCTTCTCCCTGAAATAAAATTTAAAAATATTTGTTTTAGTCTTGCTCAAAGCCACCACAATTATAAAGCAGGTATTTTGAAAGTGGGAACAATGAACTCTTCTATCTAAAATGTTCTAGACTTTTTTCTGAATAAAGGGAAACCCACAGTTAAGTGAGACCCCCATTTTCCTTCCCCCAAATGGTGAATTTCCTTTATCCGAGAGTCTGTACTTCCTAAGGGAAGGGTGTGTCCCCTCAGATGTGTCATTCTGTGCCATCTTATATCTAAAGGACCCCATGGCCTTTAGCGGAAGGGGGAAACCTTGAGACCTACTTACTTTGTAGTCCACCAAATGCAAGATAAGAGTCGTAGGGTAGGTTACCTGAGCTCTTGGGTGCTGTGAGATGGGGCTGGGAAGTCTGTGGCCTTCTTGTCGTGGAAGAGAGGGCTGGCAAAGAGATGTCTCACTGATGTGTTGAGGTACCGAAAGGGGGTCCTCATCAGGGGACTTGGTTTGGAGCTCCACGGAGTTGGCTGTGTTGAGGGCCCCTTTAAGGTCTGCAGGTGGTCCTGAAGGGGGTTTCAAGGAATAGAGAGTGTGTGGACATTCATTTGGGTTTCCCAGTGGACTCTTGGGCAGGTGACCTGGGGAGCCTGCAAGGACTCTCCCGCTTCCCCAGATGGGCTCCAGCAAGGCCTCTCGCTGAGGAAGTGAAGACGAAGTCCCCCGGCCACTGCCCCTTAACCTCCGCAGCGTGGGAGAGGTGGAAATGCGGCCAGGGGCCTGCCGGTCAAACTGCAGGAGGGTTCCCTGGTTCTTGGACAGGCTCAGAGGTTGCTGGGGAGACCCACAGCCTTGGGTCTGCCCCTGTGGGTCAGACACTGCCTTCTGCACAGGGCTAAGAGGATCCATTTCGAGAAGCTTGCAGGAGACCCCGTCTGAGTTGCTGTCCTGTGGCCCGTGCTGAGGTTGGTCATCTTCAGCACGGCAGAGCTGTTCTTCTTCCGGCACTTCTCTGTCTTTTCCCAAAGGAGAATGACAAACAGGTCGCTGCATCTTCAGTGAGGAGCAGCAGCCTGTGAAATTCAAAGTAAAGGGGACAGAGATGAGGAAAAGGTATCTGAAATTTTAAAGAAAAACTTGTAGCTCTTCAGGGGAGATAGGTAGAGCCCAACTTTCATTGCCATCCTTTATATTTTGAAAATAATTACTATACACGATTCCAGCCTTCCCATCTAAAATAGCACACTGAGATATATTTGCTATCTACTTCATAACCCTTCCAGCCCCAAACAAAAAAGATTTAAAACTTAGTGACTTAAGAGACTTCTTGGAAGTGACATTCCTTAACCATATTTTGATTATTCCCTTTAAAATGATCAAGTATGCATCAAGTATTTATTATACTCTGTTTTAGGAACATGCTGAAGTACTTTGATACATTCCAGAGATGCATGAAGAAAGAAAACAAAGCCTCTTCTCTGAAAGTTTAAATTATAATCAAGACATGCCTTCTAAGATAGTTGAAGTATTTGGCAAAAGACATTTTAGAGAATATCAATCTCTACATATATTAGAAAAAAATGATTTTTGTGTTTAAAGAGATCAAAATCTCCTCATCTTCCTGCCTCTCAAGACTTGGGGTGTTTTCTGGAATTAACACATAGACAGTTACCTCCCAACTAAGCCCTTCTCATGCTCAAGCAAAGTTGAGTCTACCATCCAACAGTTTGATTGATGGAAATGACTGATGGTAATTCTTTTATTTTTTAGTTTCCTACATGAACAAGCTATTTATGTGTGGGAATATAAATCCTTATGCATCACATCAATTATTGCATGAGAGGCAACACCTGATTATTTATAGATGAGGGCAGAACTGTGGAATGGACCGCATAACTGTCTCCCACCGCCATGGGCCATGGGGAAGGCATTTTAGACCCTTGTTTGTGGATGACAAACAAGCAGTTGATCACATGTTCTGGGACCTCCAATAACAGTTTTAGCAAGGCTATCATTCCAAAGTAAAATACAGCAATCTAGAACCTTTTGAGAATTGTGAGTCAATCATCAACTTGATTGAATTAAGATGCCCTGGGAAAGGTGATAGAATCATGCTATCCTCATCTGTGGGCTAACTGACTGATGTTCATAGTTTAACGTACTGCTATAAAGTTGGGGTCCAGTTGGAGGGTCAGGGATAGTGTACGCATTTGTTCCCATAAACTCTGCTTCTGATCACCATGAGCTGAACAGCATTCCTGCAGCCATGATGTTTCCCTTTGGAGCCAGCTTACCATGGACTGAACCCTCTGAAACCATGAGCAAAAACAAACCCTTCCTCCTCTAAGTTAGGTCCCAGCACTGAAAAGCTGACCAACATAGCAATAAATATATTTGGATAATTGAAATTTAATGATAGCAACAGGATTCTTTTTTAGTGCACATTATTTGGATTGCATTGGCATACTTTTTTAATAGAATGTGTTCTACAATGCATTGTTGATTTCTTCAACATGATAATAGCAAATGCTGATAACTAACAAATGCTTTCCTCATGACCTGACATCATTGTCATCCTTTATAGTGCTGTGCTGAATACAGAGCTTATACTATGTTTATTTTAATTCTATGGAGAATGTGGTAATTGGTGTATTACTTCTCATTATCTTTTGTGCATTTGCTTGCATTCTCCTTTTTAATTGTTTATTCATTTCTGTTTCAGACATAGAAGTCCAACAGTTTTGTGCAGAAACAATTCATAGTCTGTCAGGTATACCCTTATGTGTAAGAAGAGAAATACAATGTTCTAGCATTATTAAAACATTGTTGTGATATTGATTTTGGAAACTACACAATCTCTTATATTTCTCCTTGACTCTCACCTTGTTTTATGGTCAAATGAGATGAAAAGCACTGGAGTTTAGACCAGACAGTTGTTTAAGGAATTACTTAGAGACCAATAGAAGTCAATTCAGTTCTTATTTCCAGAAGAATTCTGAAGTCCTTAATGTTGCCTTTGCCTTAGCATTTTGAGCTGAGGACCCAAGCATCAAAGAGCTTTACAGGCCAAACTAGAACACATGAAATACATTTTCAGGGGTTGGAGAAAAGAGGCACTGATTACAGTCAGTTTTCCAGTCACTGGGATAAATGGCATGATGTCTGCAAATTAACCCTGAAGAGGTTTCTTTGGCTAATGGTTTCAGAGGATTCTGTCCATGGTTGGTTGCATCTGAAATGACATCGACATGGCAGGAGAGCGTGGTGGGGCAAAGCTGCTAGGTTCATGCTGACCAGGAAGCAGAGCAAAGGAAAAGTACCAGAGAGGAATGGATCAGGGGACCAAGGAGCAAGGTCACACCTGCATGGTTCACCCAATGACTCCTAAAAGTAGGCTTTCTGACCTCTGGAGTGGCTCTTAAGCCAATTAGGTGAAAGCGAGGCAGTAACCAGGTTTATTTTGAGATTGGTGATTTCTGGTTGCTGTTACACAGACTGGTACCAGTTTTCCCGGAAAACGAAAAGTCCCATTCTGACCACTGATTAGTGCAGGCCCATTCGATCTCTCCAGGTTCTGAACCTCTGGCTGCTTCTGGTGGTGCCAGTTCCTCATTCCCTTAACAAACAAATGACTGAGCAGAGGACCAGAGTTACAGGTACTTTCACACCTGTACACACCCAAGAATTCTATTGTGTTTCTGCATTAGAGAATTATCCAAGTTCTAGGCAGTGACAATGTTAAAGCAATTCAATAAGCTCATGCATAATAGTTGCATGAGAATTCTCAGTCCTTGGTTTCTTTTCTGTCCTTTTGGCCTCCTTCCTCCTCCTGTGTGGGGTTGGGATACAGCTTTTGGTGTTCTGGTCAGTCATCCCGACCCAGGCATCTGACCACTGGTAGGAGGTTATTTATGGTTGACAGGACTTAAAGGTCAGTAAGTGTTATTTACTGGCCAGTGTTTGGGATACTGAAACCATGACAATAATAACTACAGCCAAGCCAAGGTAATAGTAACTGCCAACATGACTCACCGCTGAACCGGAGAGAAAATCTAAATGCAGCAGGGCTTTGGGAGCTTGTCTGCAAAGAAGTAGGAAGGGCTTAAGCTTTGGAGTAAATAGATGTAGTTTCTTTTCCAGGCTCAATTGCTATGTGAGCCATTTGTCCTCCCTCTGCCACCATGCAGCACTTATAAAACACTCACAGGTTTCTTTTAGGAACTCTGAGTGGCTGGCTCCCGGGAGGCTCGTGGATCTGGTGAAAACTCCAAAGTTAAGTAAATGTGTCCATGCCAAATCTTCTGTGAATTCTCTAAAAGACTGGGGTTAGATCAATATGAGATCATTACAGAAAAGAATCACCAGCCTTCTATCTCCCAAACTTTTAGAATCCAGTAATCCCCCACCCCCGCTGTTGGGGAAGGATCTCAGTGTATGAGGAATTAAACCACATAGATTAATGATTCACGAATTCTAATCAGACCTGGAAAGACCAGCTGAACAGGACCAAGCAAAACTGGTAGCAACAGGATCTAAACAAACCAAAAGAGCAAGAGGGAAGTCCAGAAAGCAGGTGAACCTCTTTAATACCTGTAGAATGGTCTGCCTCTGAGAGCGACATTGTCCAGATGGGTCCTGACCACCCACGGGGTCTGCAGAGCCACAGAGCCAGCTGCCAGGTGAGGGCTGAGAGCAGTTTCCACACCCTTAGCAAGGAACCCTTCTTGCTGGTGTAAGCTCCTACATAGACCTGAAATGAGGAACTGGCCTCTACCCTCCTTAGAGACTTTTCGAGTTATTTGTTTATGAAAAAGCCTAAAAGGAAGTCAGTTCAAAAATCTAAGATTGCTCAAGAAAAAGCCAGGTGATTTGCTTTTACTGAACAATGGCCACTCCGATATAGAAATCATGCAAATAAGACTTTTTATTTGCCCTTAATGTTCAGAACTCATCACTGATAGTTCCTGGAGCCATTTGACATTTCCCTCCTGCTTATTACCTCTATATCTGTGAGAATAATTCCTTAGGACCTTACTTTCTTTACATATTCAAACATTTTATGAATGGGATGCTTTGATCAGCACTGCATAATACAGGAAACGATCAGCTTATTAGCGAAACGAATTTGTGAGCAGCAGGAATGTTCATATAATTAAAATGCAAATGGAAATGCACTTGTATCTACCAGCATTCTCATTAGATCAGTATGCCCACAGAACGTTTATTTGGTGCCTAGGTGGATTTTTCTAATGCATGCAGCATTAAAACAATTTCTGTAAATTCTTTATTAAAAAACCCCCCAAATTCAAGCTAATTCTAGATACTAATCTACTGAAGTTTTCAGGTCTTGGAACCATTATAGATACTTACTAGGGAGGTTCTTCTGTGGCAGTCCTTCTCCAAGCAGGGTCCCTGGGTCAGCAGTGTCAGCATCACTTGGGAATGTGTTAGGAAGGAAAATCTCACTTCCTTACCATTAAAAATGCAGCAGGTGGGGCCAGAAGTCTGTTTTGCCAAGTCTTGTGGTGATTCTTAGCTGTGTTAAAATATGAGAAGCACTGCCTTTGGGAACATAGAGATCTAATTTATAGATCATGGCCTTCTGATAACCTTTGCATTCATCTTTGATTCTCCCTCATCAGTCTTGTTAGAACATCGCTTACTTAGTCCCTTGACAAATGCCTTGATCTCCTCCCCTCACCACCAGTACCATCACCAAACCCCAAATGGAAAATCAAGGACTATCTGTTTACCACCATGGAGCTGGCATAAAACAATCTGAGCTCCTGCCAAGGCTGTCTAGAAGGGAGTCACTGTACTTCAGGGAGAAGGAGAAAGGAATAAAGCCTTTTTAGCTTTTGTTTTGTGGAAAGGAAGGTCCTCTCCCAGTTCCCTCACGCTCATTTGACTGTAAAACTATCCCCCTGGGGAAACAGTGATAATGGAACACTTGATCCCAGTTCAAAAAATTTCAATCTCTGATTATAACTTAAACAAGAAAATTAAGGATCTACAGAAAGGTCACAAAGGATAAGACAAAAGAAACAGTGCCTTCTCTACCTGGTTTGTCACAGGGATGGAGACAAGGAAGCATTCTGGGCAGGGAAAGAGCACCCTGGAAGAAACATATTCTTGAGGGGCAGCGTTCTCTTCCTGGTCCCTGGGTGACCACATTGTGTAGGTGACCATTTATGACTCCATGTGACACAAAGAGTTCTCCACTGTCTGCAGAGAGAGCGGCTCACTTCAGCATTTTTACCTGTTCTGTGGGAGGGTGTCTTGGGAGAAAGCCATCTAGGATATGCCCCATGTGAAGCCCAAAGGCTGACAGCCACTTTGGTGTCATGAATATCTGGAGCAGAGGCTGTATTGTGTGGCACTGCGATTGGTCCTGTGGCTTTAAAAAACATTAGTCCAGCATTGGAAATGAGGACAATTTATGAGTTTGGGTGGTAGGATTTTTTATTTTTAAAAAATTAATAAATCAATGAAAACAATCAATCTGGGAACCCTGTGTTCACTTGACCACACACCCACACATAACAAAGAACTAGATCCGAAGCCAGGCTCCTAGTCGCATGGTTCAGTTCACTACGGTCCCTATACTTCTCACGGTGTCTCCGGTACACTGTGAAGTTGTCAGTATTTATCACGGTGCTTGGTGGATTTTATTCCCCTTTACAGTACTGTAAATCAGGAAACAATCCCAAGGTTCATTTCAATAGACAGAGAGCAGGGGAAAGGAGGGCGGGGCTGTGAAAAGAAGGCAGATGTGTTACATGCACGGACCAACTTACACAGTGAATGTGATCATTAGGGACCACAAACACAGGTTAATACAAATAGAAAGAGAAGAAGGATTAGGATACTCTTCAACAACAGATAGATGCGTTGGTGTATTTCTGGTGTAGCTGATACTTAAAGGAAATGAAGAAAACAGGCTGTTCAGTGGAAAAAGCCAGGCTGTGTGATTCCATCTATATGCTCCTGTGGACAGGTAAGGCTGATTTACGAGGTTTAAAATCAGGTTAGTCATCTGACTTGGGGAGAGGTAGTGGGTGTGGGTCAGGACAGTGGCTTCTGGGGCGCTGCTATGTTCCATTCTTGATCTGAGTCCTGGCACTTGAGTGTGTGTTCTCCTGGTAAAAATCCATTCACTGGTACACTTATGCATGACTTTATATACGCATTAGGTCAATAAAAAGTGTATCTGTGCTGAAAGGTGACACCCCGATTTACTTATTTGTGTGATTTTCTGGCGCTGAATTGGCAAATGCCTGAAAAATATTACTTTTTCTGGTGTTGAAGTCTTATTTTTATTTGAGCTTCTTTTAGATATTAAGGGTAAGAAAATCCAATGATATTATGTTGAAAGTTACTAATATGAATATATTGATACAGTCCAACATTTCTTAGTTATTTATTCAAAGAACATGTTAGGCAGTTCATATTCTGAGCTTTCTCAGAATTCTGCTTTGCTATTGCATATAAATAATATACATAGGTACATGCATACATATGACTGTTTATGTGTAGAATGATATGTATAAAATTCATTCAAGGGCCTACAAACTTTTTTTTGCATCATTTAGTTGAAATAGACCCACAGACTATTTGATTTTTGCTAACTATCTCCAAAGGCTGCAATTCACGGGTCACATAGGCTGCACTCCCCTCTGTTGCTGGCTCTGGGTCCTCTTCCTTTCTCAGGAGACTATTGGAAGAATTCAGCTCCTTGTGGTTGTACGACTGAGGCTCCCAGTCTCAGGAAGCTCCTCACAGCTCGCTCCATATGGTCCTCTCCATGGCATACAGCACGCTTTTTGAAAGCCACATGACAGTCTGTCCCTCTGGTCCATTAGGATTGGAGTCCCCTAGATGTGTTGTAATGTAGCAGGAGTGGTACTTCAGTGTTTTGCTGTATTCTATTGGTTAGAAGCTATCACATGTCCCATCCACATCTGATTGGAAGAGATTACACAAAAAGGAGACTTGAGGTCACATTAGGCTGTATCTGATACGGTCATTTTGATAGTAATTGAATTTTTTCCTAATTCATATATAGGTAGGCTAAGATATGTCCCTAACTTTTAGTACTCTATTTTTCTTTTACTCAGTCTTTGACATCACATTGGCCTGAAGAATGGTTTTAAGCATTTAAATCCTGAGGGCTAAAATCCAGTATGAAAAACTGGAAGTAGACCAAACAACTGTACCTCTTAGAAACTCAGGACAGAGCCAAGGTTTCATGATTCCTGCCACTGTCCTGGCTGTGTTCTGGGATTTCTGTTTTTGCCAAGAGTCAGCCTCGTGGGGTTCATTTTTTATATTTAACTTTATCGAGGGTTACTTTGAATTTCTCAGTGACAGGGGCTCACAGCACTCAGACCTCTATGAATGAATTTGCTTTCATCTGGTCTGGAGCAGCAGAGAATTGTTCTACCTCGGGAAGCACAGAGATGGGATATTTCTGGGAAGTTCCTTTGGAGCTGAGGTCCTACACTGAGACTGATTTACACAGCACATTTCATCCAGCCCAATCCAACCAACTTTTAGTTCTAACAGTTATAAAAAGTCCCTGGGTTTGCTTTCCTTGCCAGAACTCTAGCTGTGAAGAAGTTAATGACTGTAATAAGAACCTTGGAAGTGAGTTTTCAAAGCCTGATTGGGGGTAAGGGAGAGTAGGCCTCTGAATTTTATTTTTAAATGCAATAAAGATAGAACAGATAATTAGGCCTGAAAATTATCTCGTTTCTAGTTCTCTTTTGTAATTTAGGGCCCATTGTAAGATTGCATCTACTTCCCCATGGCCTCTGTCCCTAAGTCGTAATTCTAACGTGATTATGTTACAATTATCTCAACAGCGGCCAATGATGGTGCTGCAAAACAGAGAATTAAGGCTTTGGGTGGGAACGAGCAGCACCAGCAGGACTCTAGCAATGGGAGGCATAAACCTTCACGCTTCTGAAAATTTTCCTGAGGGCTAGCGGGCAAGAAAGTGGAGAGAAGAGGAAGAAAGCACAAGCATTTTCATAAAGCGAGGATTATTTCTAAATGGAAGGAAGATTGATTCCGTTTTCTCAGATGACACACAAGCATCTTTTTCCATCAGAGGGACCTTGAGAAGTCTCAGACCACCGTCCACTGATCACAGCGTTCTTTTCCAAATGCAATGCATGAGTGACCTCCATTGCATAAAGATAGTCGTCTTTTTATTTTATGACTGAGCAGCCCTTTGCTTGATTTTATTTGTTGTCTTCTTTGCAGGGAGGAATATTTTTTGGATTATTGTTTAAAGACTTGTGAGAAGTAGAAACTGATTTGTGCCTGTGTCTCTGCATTGGAGAATGAGCTGAGTGCAAGGCTGATCATATATTATCAGATATAGACCTTCAGGAGCACAGCTGGTTAGCATGAGATTCTCACATGTATAGATATAATATTAGATATTTAAATTGTCATTTGCAATTTGTATATCTTGTATCTTTCAGTAGATGCTGCGTGCTCAGTTGCTATACATTTTGTTCAGTGCTTCATGCATGAATAAGACCTCATCTCTCACAAGGTAAATCAGATTAATTTAGGAAAGATTCTATAGGTTTATTTTGCACTGGCTGAAAAATTAAAAAATTTATATTCTTATTCTCTGCTTTTCAGTGATAACTTTTTAAAGAGACTCTGGCTTTAATATCATATCTGACAAAGATTTTCCTGCTGTCTTTCATGACAAAATCAGAAAATGCTGGGCTCAATTGGAGTGTAGATGGATTAATAGAGACCATCTATATCTAAAAAGGGCTCCTAGAGGCTACTGAGACTATTAACATGATCATTGTTTTTTTCGGATGTTTCTGATGCATGTTAAGTAAGCACTCTGCAGCTAAGCTATGTCCCCAACCCTAGAGAGTATGACCTGTAAAAATATGATAAAATACTTTGCATGCCAAAGTGCAAATTCTTTTTCCCTTAATATATCATGGACATCCCT